TGATCGATTTATTCATAGCGACTCCGCGTGTGCTTCGGCAGTACGCCACCTTTCTGAGGGTAGGAAACCTGATCGAGTTGGATGGATGGGAGCCCACCGACCACCGTCCTTTGACGCTTGTTCTTAATGTTACAGTGGATGACGAAAGCAGGTGTAGGGACGGTAAAGGCCGGAGAGCCCGGGTGGAGTTTGATATTGCACGATACCAGGATTACGCGGAATATTTTGAGGGGGGGTCCCCTACTATGAATGCCTTAAGCCAAGTGGCCGAGGACCTGCAGAGGGGAGTTTGCAACACCACACAAGCTGTCGAACGCATTGGAGGTGCCTTCTACAAAGTCCTGGTGAGGGCCTTCGATGCCCACCGACCTACCGGCATGACGGCAGGTGGGGATACGGTTTGGTGGAACCGGGAATGTCAACAAACACGGCAACGCATGTTGGAGAGTAGGGCCCAGCTGGGTCCAGGCCGGGTGAGTAATAAATCGGGTCCGGAATGGGAGGCTTTCCGCCATGCGCGGACGGATTATAACCGGGCAAAAAGACACGCAAAGGCGGCATATGAGGAGGACAGGATGAGAGATTTTGTGGCCAAATGTCGGCATGACCAACGAGCTTTGTGGCGGGCTTTAGGAGGGAAGTTGAGGGAGCAATGTGCGATAGATGATATTGAGGTCTTCAGGGAACACTTTGCTGGGCTCTTAAACGCAGGTGTAGGGGAGACGGGGCCTGATGGTGCGAACCGGCTTTTGAACTTCATTAACTTTGGGCAGTTCCTAGAGGGGCAGGAATGGCGGGCATCCCACTCGGTTTTGGGCAGGACTGCGAAGGCAGCAGAAATCCTAGACCCCCCCCCTCACGCTGGAGGAAGTCGCACGTGCTGTTGACCGGCTGCCTAACAGTAAGGCACCAGGTTTGGAAGTAGCGCCGTCGGAACGTTACCGCTATGCGCGTTTGCCCCGAGAGGAAGAAGGCTCCGCGTCGGGTAATGGTAGGGACAGGCGACGGGGGGAAGTGAATCAGCTTGTTCCGGTACTGCACGTGCTTCTGGAACATATCAGGGCGACTGGGGACTTCCCACGGCAGTTTACAACTACCGTCCTCACCCCTATTTACAAGAAGGGGGACCCCAGCATGCCGAGTAACTACCGGGGCATAGCAGTAGGGGGCGCCTTGGCGAAATGTTACGCGCTGGTCCTCCTGGATAGGCTCGTTCGCACAGGGGAGACGCTCTCACTTAGGCACCGAGGCCAAGCGGGTTTCAGAAGAGGTTTCGGTACTACACATCATCTCTTTGCCAAGCAGTATCTTACTGCTAGGCACAGCCAACCGGGACAGCGGCCGTTAATCATTGTGCAAATTGACTTTGAGAAGGCGTTTGACAAGGTGCCGCGGGAGATAATGTGGCTTCGTTTGCAAGAGAGAGGGGTTGAAGGGTCCATGCTGCGGTCGCTGATGCGGGCGTATGATAAGGTTACAATGGTCATCAAGACGAATGGCAAGACTGGAGGTGAATTTGAGTCAAAACAGGGTGTGAAACAAGGCTGTCCATTATCAACTGAGCTGTTTGGGCTCTACATTGAAACTCTCGCGGACGTCATCGATATGCACGACGGTATTAACACTGGGGCACGGCCGGAGGATGCACCGGAGGTTGGAAATGAGCGAGTGTCCATCCTCCTCTATGCAGGCGACGTTAGCCTCCTGGCAACAACACCGGGACGCATGGGGGAGCTGCTCAACATTGTGGACATGTTCTGTGATGATTTTGGGATGCGCCCAAATGTGTCGAAATGTGAACGCCTCGTTTTTGCAAGCGACAGCGATACTAGAAGTGCTGTCCAAGCATCGTGTGATGAGCTCCGGCTGGCTGGAGAGGCCATACCGGCTAAGGATAGTGCACGATATCTGGGGTTAGTGTATGGGCCGGAACGGCAGTTCTGGGCCTGCCGTCAGCAGTTGTATGACACAGCTAGAGCAGCTATGTTCACGTTAAGTGCAAAATTAGATAAGCTAAAGCTGTTCGCCCCAGATGTGAGGATGAGGTGTTTCGATACGCAGGTACGAGCAAAACTGTTGTATGGTTGTCAAGCGTGGGGGCCGTTTATGCTAGCTGAGGTCTTGGACAGGCTCAGGAGGCGGAGTGATGCGAGTAACCTTGCAGAGGGGCCCTTCGAGGCATGCCTAAAGGACAGAGCGGTGCAGCTTCAGATATCTTTCATGCGACAAATTGTAGGAGCTGCCAGACCAACACACCGCCTCCTGTTTGCAGAGCTGTCGCAGCTACCCCTACACTACCATGTTCTCAAGCAGGTTGTGAGGTTTTGGAACCATGTCCGTTTACAGCGTGGGTCTGTGGCACACCAAGTTTTGCGACAGGAGGTCGCAGAATCCCTCTCCAACCCCGAAGGGGCCGGATGGGGGACACTACTCCTCCGTTTTCTATGTTTTTTGGGGCACGACGTATGGAAAGAGGCCCCGCAAGGGCTACACGAGGTAGACGAACGAGTGGAGTGGCTGATGAACAGGCCAATGCCAGAAGGTGTGGTTTTGGAGTTCAAGGACCGATTAGTGAGTGGTTGGAAGCACACGCGTTTAGATGTCCAGCCTGACGTGTATCCGTCAGACGGCAAGCAACCAGGAATCCACATGGCGAAGTATAAGCATTGGATGGGTCTGGCGGCCGAGCAAGCGGGCAGGAAGGAGGTGCTCCCGCATATCACAATGTTTATTCCGCGTTCGGCGAATCGCAAGCTTATGCAGTTTAGGCTTTGCTGTTGGGCACTGGCGGCTAACAGAGCGCGTAAGGGACGGCGTTATATACCTAGGGAGGAGCGAGTATGCCCTTGCTGCGGCACTGATAGCCATATCGAGGATGAGAAACACATTTTGCTGGACTGTCCGGTGTACGACGAAATCAGATCTGATATGGGCTTCCCACGCTTCGAACATATGAAGGACGCTATGAAGTGGGAACCTGAACACCTGGCAAGGATGCTGGAACGCATATGGGCCCACCGCAACTCTATCGTTCCCTTTGGTCGTTAGTATACTTCATCACTTGTTTCGTTGGAAGTGCGAGGTAGGATGGTGCTTATAGGCGATTTGGCAGCCCTTGAGCCCTCGGCTCGTACTAGGGTGGTTTGCAGGTACGGGGAACGCACCCACGACCATGTAACAACAACAACAACATAAAGGGTCTTAGAGTGACGAGAATTCCTTTTGCCGTACCCGACCTCCGCACCCGCCAACCCCGCCCACCCACTAATACCCACCAAACCCGCCGGCCCACCCTTTCCCTTCCCTCCGTACCATCCTCCGTACCATCCTCCGTACACCACAGATCCGCATGGACATGGAAATCGTGCACTTGGAGCGCCGCGCTACCGACCTCGCCAACCTGGTGACCTCCCTGTCCGCCGCCTGAGCCGCCCGAGCCGCCTTGACGATGCAGCTGGCCGCCAACACCACCCGCCATACTCGCCGCTCGCCGCTGTTGGCGGCGCTGGAGGCCAAGGTCCAGGCAGCCCAGCAGGCGTACGAGGACATTGCGTTGAGTGAGAAGCAAGTGGACAAGGCCTTCCGGCGGGAGTTCAGCAGCCGGCCTGACCTCTGGGATGACGCGCAAAAGGTCTACCGTACCAGATCGCATCTGCTGCATGTACGGAAGGGTTTTGGGGGGAAGGGGAAATCATATGCTACAAGGAAATCAGAAATGAACTGTCATAAGGAGTTCAAAAGGTTCGAAACTGCCCCTAGGAAGCCCTAAGCATGAGAAGGGGGTTTGGCAGCAGTACGTATTTGGGTTTGGATGTACGGTAAGGTCACATCGTAGAAGTCGGTTTACTCTGCGTCATTAAGCACTGTCGATGTGTATGTGTATGTTTATGTGCATATGTCTGCGGTACTGCCGTAAATACTCCAAAACCATATCTGTCGTACCCTTCTCCCCCCGCATTTTGCTGTCCATGTGAACGCAAAGCCGCCCCTTCCCCTGCAATTCAAATGAAACCTTCACCCCCATCCCCCCCACCCCTTCCTCCCCCCTATCCTGCCACCCAGGGCTCTGCCTCGACGGGGAGTCTCGGAGCGACTGTCCCTGGCGCCGCCGCCACCACCGCCCCCTCCCCACCCCCCGGGTTCGTAACCACGGCTCGTCTGCCCAGGAAGACAGCTCTAGAGCTACTCGGCAAGAGTCCGGAGGGCCAAGCCCTGGCGGCGGCATTGGAGGCTCCCGGCCCGGGGGAAGTGTCCCAGTCGCAATCGACCACCTCAGTGCCGGTCCTAAGTGAGTGACACGTTTTAGGGTTTTACGGTGTGTGGGGGGGGAGTTTCGGGAATGTGGGGGGGGGTTGGGGGGAGGGTAATGTCTATCCCATAAAAGTTGCTACTTTTTCTCGTTCCCCACCTCCCAACCCCGAACCCCCCAAATCACACAGGGCATGTGTACGGAGATAGGGCCGTACACGCATATGCATGGGTACACAGAAAGACGCCTTCCCTCACATATTCCCCCTCCCCCCCCGGAAACCCCCCTCGGCATGCCGTACAGGTCGCCAAGGCACCATGAACCGCGGCGCCCTCTCCGGTCGACTGACCGCGCTTGACTCCCTAGGGGCCAGTGCCGCCGGCGCCGGCTCCCCTCACTCGGAGGTGCTGCTCACCACCCCCCGCCGGCCGCTGAGGGACATGTCCCACGTAGCTAGGCCGCTGCCAAGACCGGGATCAGCGCTACAGGCCTTTCTGCAGAAGCATCTGGAACCGCAGGGGCTGAAGGGCGGTGCGGCGGCGGCTGTGGCGGCGGCGGCGGTGGGAATGGTAAGAAGGCGGGCGAGAAGTACGGCGAGGAGGAGGAGGGGGAGGAGGCGGGGGAGGGGAGGAGGGGGAGGAGGAGGGAGGAGGACGAGGGGGAGAGAGGGCTCTGGTTTGCCCGGTGCCTTGCTCCTACTTGGGCTCCGCAAAGGTTGGCTTTATCCCGCCGCCTTCCCGCCCTATCCATGACCTCTGCCAGCGCAGAAGGGCCCCACGCCTGCAGTCATACAACAGAATTGCTCGGACTTGTGTTGCAAAACACCGCATTCGCACGTCGGGGGCAAACAGCTTCATTTTGTCCAGCTTTGCGCTTAAGGAAAACATAGCGGACCGACCTGTATCACATAACTGCTGACGGCACGCACTAAAAGGCCGTTCTGCCCCGTATACCAAGCCCAGATAGCGAGCGCTATCTTTGGCTTAGGTGCTACCTGGCCTGATAGCCGTAACTGTTGACATCTCTCGCTAAGTTCCGACTGCTGGGTGCCATCACATGCAAAAACAAGCCTTTCACACTTTGAGACATTTGGTCGCATCCCGAAGAACAAGTCCACAAGATGTAGCAACTCAGACATTCGCTCTAGTGACGTCGCTAGCAGACTAACATCGTCTGGGTACAGCAGTATGGAGACGCGCTTACTGTCCACAAGGGGTGTGTCATTCTTACGTACTCCAGCTTCTACAAGGTCATGAGTATCGATCCGCCCCCTCCCCTGCGCCCGCCTAGCCCAATGCCACCCTCCCCTGCGCCCCCCCAGCTCAACGCCGCCCAAGAGAGGCGCAGGGGAGGGCGGCATTGGGCTAGGAGGGCGCAGTGGAGGGCGGTGCTGGGCTAGGGGGGCGCATGGCAGGGCGGCGCTGGGCTATTGGTTGCAGGGGAGGGCGGCGCTGGGCTAGGCGGGTGCAGGGGAGGGCGGCGTTGGGCTAGGGGGGGCAGGGGAGGGCGGCGTTGGGCTAGGAGGGCGCAGGGGAGGGCGGCGTTGGGGTAGGGGGGCTCAGGGCAGGGCGGCGCTGCGCTGGGCGGCGCAGGGGAGGGCTTTGCTGCGCTGGGCAGGGCGGTGCAGGGCAGTGCTGGCGCGGGGTGGGACGGGAATCGGAACAGGGCAAAGGTGCCACCCACCTTCTTGTGGGTCTGGGTTCAATTCCCAGGTGTCCCTAAATGTTATGAGCCATGATACATACACACATATGTCCGTGAACACATCAGCACACGGGCAGAGGGCACACACATACAAGCACAAAGGACGGAGGGAAGGGCAAGGGAGAGCAGGGGACAGCAGAGGAGAAGGCACAGAAGGGCAGAAGGGAGGGCAGATGGGAGGGGAAGGGAGGATGACTTAGGGAGGGCGGAATAAGAGTGAGAAAAGGTATTGTGGAGGGTGGAGGGAGGGGGTTGTGGGGGGAGGGTGAAAGGATGGAAGGGTGGAGGGAGGGAGGGAGGGAGGGAGGCGTCAGCTAGTGTCTCAATGAAGAGTCCAAACAGCTCCGTAGATAGAGGACACCCTTGCTTCACTCCTGGCTTAGAATTAAACTCTCCTCCCACTTTATCATTCACCTTAATCACCATGGACACCTTCTCGTATGCTTTTCTCAGAGCATCTAGCATGGGGCCGCTAATCGCCCTCTCCTGCAACCGAAGCCACATATGCTCGCGCGGCACCCTATCAAAGGCCTTCTCAAAGTCAGTCTGTACTATTATCAGCGGCGGCTGCCCCGCGCTCCGATGCCGCCTGACCAGGTGTTGCTTGACCGTGATGAGCGGTGCCGAAACCCTGCCTGAAACCCGCTTGGCATGGGTACCGTAGGTCCAGTGTTTCCCCAGCGCATACCAGACGGTTAAGAATCACTGACGCATAGCGCTTTGCAAGTGCTCCTCCAACTGCAATGCCCCAATAGTTTCCTGCCACCAATGGGTCACCCTAATTCAAATTTGGGGATACCACCGTTTTGGTAAACTGCTGGAACGTCGCCAGTTGCCCTGATGTGCTCTAACAAAACGTGTAATGTAATGTAATGTAATGTAATGTAATGTAATGTAATGTAATGTAATGTAATGTAATGTAATGTAATGTAATGTAATGTAATGTAATGTAATGTAATGTAATGTAATGTAATGTAATGTAATGTAATGTAATGTAATGTAATGTAATGTAATGTAATGTAATGTAATGTAATGTAATGTAATGTAATGTAATGTAATGTAATGTAATGTAATGTTACAGAGTGGGAGGCTTCTGGGCCGCTTTATCACATTGTCAATTCTACGATTTTATCACCTTATACCACCATCCACCACTACCACACTGTACTACGCCATACGAACTGTAAGTCCAAGGCGATGGATCCAGCGTTCAGGGATCCCTCCTCATCCATTCACCCGAACATCCGAAGAGACGGAGGGTTCGGCAATCGCCACCAATCCAGCGTGCGAATCTGGTCCATCAACTGTGACCTCAACTCTCAAGGCCCGCCATAATGCGCGCTGGTCGTGCCTGCACCTAACCACAAACTCACGCATTCTCTCTGCATCATATGCTGCTCGGGCACGACGTTTGGCACGATTCATTGTATTGCGTGCCTTGCAGAACGCTTCCCACAAAGGACTTGACTTATTCTCGACCCTGCCACGGCCCAGCCGCACCCTGCAAGCAAGCATGTGTTTGCCGGGCGCTTTTTCATTCCTCATTCCACCATAATGCACCATCCCCCACTTGCATACCTTCAGGCCTGCGACCCGCAAATACTTGAATCAGCACCTTCCGCAGGAGGGTACTAATGTGCTCCACTGACTCTGTGCTGTCGCAGGTCCCATTAGATAGGTCCGTGATCACCCCATTTAGTGCGTGCATGACCTGAGATCCCTCAGTGAACAGAGCAGCATAGTCACGATAACGGGAAATCTCAAACACTGCTCGCTTCTTTTGGCAGCACCCTATGGCACTCGCCTCGGTTCCTCCCACAACTAGATCAAGTCACTGGACGGTGGTCAGGGAACCAACCATCTGGCGCGAGCAGCTCACCCACTCGCATCCAAAAGGCACGACGGAGAACACCGGCCGAACCAACAAAAAGATCGATAATGCTCCACCTGCTTCACCCTTGGGGAAGGTCAGACGACCCTCCAAATCCCCAGAAACACGGCCATTTAATACCAGCAGACCCTGTGACCGGCACAGGGCACCCAACTGGTGCCCAGCAACATTGCAGACGTGGTCCTCACTCCTACGTCCGGGCACGTCTGCATAGCCCTGAGGTTCCGCGTCCCCCGGCAAGCCCATGAACTCCCGCAGTGCCGTCAGCTGGTCTAAATCTGGAACATCACTAACGTACCCTGGCAGGTCAGCAGGCGAGGACTGGTGCTTTGCATGCTGTGCACTGGATAAACGGGCATTTAGATCACCGGCAAGCATCACATCCTCCCCGGGCCGCCGGAGCTCGGAAATATCTTGTTGGACTCTCGCGAAAGCAGCTTCTGCTGCTGCTACACGCTGTGCATTAGTAGCACCTCCGGCTGGGTACACTCTAGAAGTTTCAGGCGCAAGGTAACAGGCCCCCACCAGGAGGCTGTTTCCTGACAGGAGGTTGACACGTATCCACAGAACCTCACAGCCTAAAGACTGGTGTTTTTTCGAACGATGGTAACCCCATGGGAGACGATATCACGCACGTAAAGAGCAACCCCGCCATAGTCAGCACGTAGTCACACTCCTGACCTCTGCACCCGCATCAGGCGGAAACCTTCAAGGGACGCGTCACTGTCTGGCACTGCATCCGTTAAGTGTGCTTCGGTAGCAATGATGAGATCATGGCTAGTCACAAAAGACTTCATTCCGGCACAGTCAAGCTTAAAAACTCCCATCTCCAGCAACCCATGGACATTCCACAACAAAACCTTCTAACCTCTTGGCCCTCGGCTTGCGTTATCCTAGTCATCCACTTCAGCAGGCAGGCCTGCAAACCGGTTAGCACTACTGAACACGCCAGCCTGGTCATGAGGCCGGTTATCAGCTGTGTGTGTCTGTGTGTGTATTTGTTACATATCGACTGGGGCCTGATGTTGGCCAGGGGCACCTTACCGTACCCCAACGGGAACAACCACCAAAGCATTCTCCGCCTTGTGTGTGTGTGTGTGTGTGTGTGGATTGTGAGGGGTATTAGCCAAGGCATTTGCTTTTGGCGCCACGCAAAGACATTTGTGAAAAACGTGGCCTTGGGGGATGAGGTGGCCCATGGTGACACGCTATAAGGCGTGGTCCACGCGCAGTGAATCAGTAAGCAGGTGAGCAGCGGGATCGTGTGGGGGTTTGGCAATCTGGGTGCAGGGGTGCGGCTGCGTGTGGCTGTGGTGGCGCGGGGTTCCAGAGGGACCCGACGGTGTTATGTTCTGTTGAAATAACTGCTGTGCAGGTCTGCTTTTACCATGGAGCTACAATGTGAACTGGAATTGCTCCTCGTGTGCTCGCTTCTTTTAGTTGCATGGCTTGTTGTTTGAGAATGATGAGACGTGAAACCGTGATCAAGGGTCAAGCTCAAATCTTTGAGGTGAATTAAGGAGGCGTGTGTACTCCAGGTAGTTGAGCATGAGCTCTAAGCGCGTTGGGTAGTTATCCTGCCTCGTAACCAGAGGTCGGCAAATGGATTTTCCTATGGCTGCGGGAGGACATAATTCGTGTAAGAAGGGTTCAGCTCCCTTGGCATCTCCCTGAGTACTCTTTGCCTGGTGTTACATTGGTGCGAATTGCTAGGAAATGAGAACTCCCCGGATCTACTCCGGTTGCGATAATACACCAGGCATGATGCTTACCCCAGAGGTGGATGCCCGGGTAGTCGACAAGTTTACCAGTTGAGTATTGACAAACTCCTCCATTTCGGAGGGGGACTGACAAAATGTCAAAATATCAAACAAATTCACAATCCTACGGGATCTCAACCAACCAAAATCCTATATAACATATGCGCACTGAATGGGGCTGCCCTATTTTCGGGGAGCCGCAGCCGTCATGTGGCCAACACATGCAAAGGTTTTCATTACTCGTTTAGCACATCGTAAGCTAATGCAGTTTCGTTCATGTTGCTGGGCTCTAGAGGCAAACAGAGCATGAAGGGGCAAGTACCATGTCCCCAGGGGCAGCGGTTTTGCCGCTGTTGCGGTACTAATAGCCGAATCGAGGATGAAAAACACGTGTTATTGGAATGCCCAACCTATAATGATATTCGTGCTGAAGAGGGATTCGATCATCAGAGCATGTTGGAGGGCATGAAATGGGAACCAGTACGTCTGGTGAGGATGTTGGAACGCATGTGGGCTCACCGAAACTCAGTTACCCCTTTTGGACCCTAGTCTGTACTGATGTGCGGTGTTTCCTGTGGCTTTTAGGCGTTGAAGTATTGCCCTTGGGCCTTCGGCTCGTATGGGTAGTTTTACAGGTATGGGGTCACACACCCCCAACCATGTAACACACACACACACACACACACACAAAATCCTACAGGAAATGCCCAGGGGCGCCCGAGGGGGGGAGGAATGTAAGAAGGGTTCAGCTCCCTTGGCATCTCCCTGAGTACTCTTTGCCTGGTGTTACAATTTCGGTCAGTAACCTGGAAAAAATTTTGGGTGCCTTCCGGCGCCAAGAAATATTGCATAACATTGCAGTCCGACCGTTGTATACAAAGTCACAGCTTACACTGTCCATGGGTCCCCCGGCTTTTACAGACACCCCTGCACTTGTGTGGAACTTCTGTTCGTCGTAACCTCTGTTCGTCGCCATGCCAGCCGTGCGCTGCACATGGCACGGCGGGGTTCACCCAGCAGTGGAAACAACCATGCTAGCACCGCATCAACAATTCAGGCCATAGGAGATCTCGCTTTGTCACTGCTCATAAAAGGAGATGAAATGACCCAACGGATACAGCAAAACCAGTAAAAGTTGCGGCCCTCATCGTGCTTTGTCTGCAACTGTCTGCAACGGCGGCGCCCCGTAATCGCCTAATGAAAGCTCTACGAGACCTCCCAGGACTTAAAATCATGCACACGCCGCAATAAACACCTGCACACTATTCGGCTGCTAACACCGCCGAAGAAGTTTACTATTCCTCATCATCACACCGCTCACACAGACCATCTGGAACCAGCACCCCCCCACACATAGACATACACATCACAGGAGCAAAACATAACAGAGCCCAGCGGACCAAAACGCGCGGGTCACAGGCCTGCAAACCGTAAAATGAAGTTCTATTATGGTTTGCTGAAAACTTTCCCGTTATGCAAATAATATTGCAGAGTGTTTACATTCCACGCGATTACTTACTAGCGCAGTGAATCCGGACATTGAAGCCAATGGGATGATGATGAGGATTAACACTGTGTAGAGGAGTGCGGCGAAAAGCTGTTACTATGTACCGTGATGATGCCTTTTGATGAGATTGGCCAACTGTCTTCTCAAGCCTGAACCCCCATCGAGCTGTGCTGGTAACATACGGGCTCACGTTTGGTCCATGCAATCTTCGTGCGCCATGCAGGTGTCATTCGCAAGCAGTTAGGAGCCTTTGAGGCCCAGGCTCATATGGGCAGGTTATAAGTACACACCCGCGACAACGGAATATATTCACAGCACAAAAAACACAATCCACCCCGTGGCCAGCAGCGGCGCTCCAAATCTCAATCCACGGAATGCGGAATATGTACCGACGGAAGGCTGCAAACGATTCCTTCACGAGGCAGGTAACAACTGCGCCAGGCGTAGCGTGGGGTAGCTTCCACACCCGCCTCTGTGTCCAATACATCATACTACCTACTCATGCCATCATACTAATACTGTGAAGCTCTGCGATCTCGCCTTTAACCTGGCGGACGGTAGCTACCGTGCGGGAGATGGTGCCGGCTACGAACTCCTTATGGGTGGCCATCAGGTGGAACGCTCGCTTATAGTCCGCCTCCAGCTTGGCCAGCTCCCCTTCACCCTCCCTGATGGGACATGGGACAGGCACGTCAAGCACGTCCGCACGAGTGTATCGCTGAGTCAGCGGCGGAGCCATGCGAGAGTCACATCGCATATAAAACGCAATCATCGGTTTGCATCATACTGTTGACTGGTGGCGATGTGCACATGGACTGGGACAGGGCGAAGGGGACGTGACAGGACCTGGTACTTGCATGGGAGTGGCATGGGGGCTGCGGCAGCGGCGCCAAGTTAATTACAGTTCGCACATTGACAGGGTTGACGAATATTCCTACCTCTTGCCTTGCTCGTACAGCATTTGGGCTCGCGAGATTTGCGACTCCATGTGCTCCGTTCGGTTGACCGCCTCACTGCAAGACTCCTCAATCAGCGCCTTGATTCTGTCCGCCTGCGGCAAACAGCGACATGGCAGTCTCGACCCCGCCGCGACATCCTAATCAGCCACCTTGAAATGAAAAGACGCAGAGCAAAGGATGTTTACCACATTTGAATTTGACTAGAGCCACCGGTTAACGGCTGTCCGTACCCATTTACATGAGCTATACCAGGATCCCCCGTAAACCCCGGGACTTTCATTTATTTCAATACCTGCGCCGTGAGCTTCCTGCATTTCTCGTCATAGAAGTCTTTGGTCGCTTGCAACTGCGCCTCCAGCTTGGCATTCTGTTTTTGCGGCAGGGAACAGCGGTGCCCGTGCACCGGTCATAAATAATGATGATGCAACACATCGTGCGTCAAGTGGGAAGAGCCTTTCATTTGTGATTTGTGCCGTGATGGTTTAGCTATAGAGTGGAAAGGTAGTTGTTATAGCTGAGTAAGTCTGCTGCATTCAGCAGCAGGAGATCCGTGCTCAAGAAGAAACACATCATCCACACAACAAACACCCTAGCAGCCGAAGTGCACTTACTTCTGCTTGGAGAGCAGCGATTTCCTGTTTCTTTTCCGCGGTGCTCTCCGTACGTGCGCTGCAAGCCTCCTGAAGGCCGGTTAGATCCTGATGCAGCTGCTTCGCGCGCGTGAGGTAGGTATCGCGGAGACGCTCCAAGTTGGGCTTCACCACGCCCTTCAGGTCCAGGTTACAAAATTCAGCCTGCAACCGCCACGCAGCGGGGCCCCCACTTCGGCGTTAAACCAGATAAGATTGCGCATAGGGCATGGCTGGCATCAGCCGTGCAAAGCAGCAGGTCCTTTCACTTGCCTGTGAAGTTGCATCTCGGTTGATCCGCAGCTCATAGTTTGTGCCGCCAGCACGCTTTGTGGTTGCTGGGACGAGCTTAAGGGCCTTCACCAGCGTATTGTACGTGTTTGCGAGCGACAGCGCGTTGGACGTGCTGCGGATGACCTACAGGCAAAATCCCATCCGCGAAGAAACCAATCAATCAAACGAACAGTCAAGACCTCGGGGACGTGGGCCAGGTAATGGCAACTGACACGAAGGTCAATAGCTAAGGAAGCGAGAAAGGAAAACGATACTGTTGGCACATAGCACTCCCCAAGCAAGCGTGGCTAATCAAGCCAACCCACCTGCATTTCCATCTCGTGGTTTGCGCGTTCCATCTCCTCGCACTGAGCTGCCTCAGTCGCCACCAGCTCCTCTAGCTTTTTGCTGCATCGCACGGAAAGCAGGTACACCATCATTGCCCCGGAGCTGATGCGCGTTCAACGACTACTACTATTATAGCATCCAAGTCAACCCTGTAACACGTACCGCTCCAGCAGAATACGGTTGACGTCGGCCTTGCTGACCGGCTGGCTCGCTACGCTGTGACGCAGCTTCTCCACTTCGGCCTCCGCAGCGGCAATCTGCTCCTGCTTCGTCTGAACGTCCATCTTCTTCTCAGACAGCTTGCGGAGCGCGGCCTGGTTAAGGGCCTGTGGAAGGGTCAGCCCGTTCAAGCCCGTTAGGGTCCGTCGGTCGGGAAGTCGGAAAGTCGTGAAGGCCTTTGGGCGCTGTGCTAAACCCTATAGCCAAGGGGTCCCCGGCTTTTACAGACACCACCCCGCACTTGTAACTTGTATACCTCCCAGGTGCTGACGTGTCTTGGGATGGGTACATAGGTCGTTAGGATCGCAGCTGACTTACCTCAAAAAGCAATACGATCAGCATAGCTGACCAAGCTCAGAGGAAACCGGCTGGATGATAGAAACCATTACGACCCCCTTCCAGGGGGGATTATCGACCCCCTAACGATTAAATCTCCTCACGGGCTGGCATGCGCGGAGAAACGAAAGCTCGAGGGGTCGGTGGACAGTTATCCCGCCATCATCCCGTGTATCATGCCGGGCGCATTCTCCCGAGGGGCGCAACCTCATGGAGGATGCAACAACACCAGGGGGCATACCTGGTCCTGTTGTACTAGAAGTTCAAGTTTCTCGCAGATGACCGTCTGCTCCCTGTTTTGCTCCGTTGCTAGGTCCACTGGATCAGGGAGTGAGCGCAGCTGCGCCAGCTCCTCCTCAAGCTGCTCGTTCTCCTAAGAATTTTCAACGCGCGTGCAACAAAAGTGTAAGTAGCGATGTTCCCTTTGGGTTTAAAAGGCACATCATTTGCAAGGGAACGTCTTCTTAAACCAGTATGATGGACATGGCAAAAGCATTGCTGGGAACTATACCGGCGGTTTCAATGGAAAAAGGGCAGGGACTAAGTACTCAAATTAGGCCGTGGCCTTTTAATGCCTGCACGGACTTACCTTGCGTAACTCCTCGTAGCGTGCGCCCCGCTCCGCCTCCTCCTTATGGAACTTCTCAGCGAACTGCCTGTCAAGTTCTTGGCTACGAGCATCGTTGCACAGCATGAAGCAGTGGTACCCTTCCCCGACGTAGTCCATCATCTCCTCCACATGATTGCCGCCCTGGAGCAGTTTTGCAAGTCAGATGTTTCGTCAAGAGATACGCAGAAATCCCCCTTCCTTTGTACATGACGCCAGCGTAGCGCCATGCCTCCCCCGGGGTGCTTTCCCATGCACATACATTTATCCCATGGTTCCTTCGAACCCAAAGCAACGCACCTGGCTGCTGTTGCCTTTTTCCTTGTACTCGAGCGCCTCGACTACCCATGTAAGAGCTCCCAAGACCGCCGGCCATGAGTGCGGGGCACCGACGGCGAACAGAGCGCTCTTGCTGACCTGGTAAGGATAATTAAGGCGCTTGAGGAAGACGGGAAACTCGTCCTCGACTTTCCCTTGGACCCGAGTTGCTGGATCAAGCTGTTGGATGAGGAACGTCACGATTGCTGTGAAATCCTTTCCGGTCGGGCTTGCCAATGTTTTCGGAGAAACAGGGTATGAGAAGCCATGGGTTGTAAAGTAGTGAATTAAAGTCTTGATGCAGTAGTTCTGGTAATCTTTGCTGCTTAAGGGACGCGGATCCTGCTTCGGGCCGGTTGTCTTGGTTACAATGCTGGGGCGCCCCTCCAGAGTTATTCCAGACATGCCTCCTGCTCCCAACATTCCTGGCGCAACACTCTTCCTGCCCTTGACAGAAAGCGCTGCACCATCCATCCCGCAGCGGCCTGGAGCTGCGCTGTTTCCTCCTTTGACAACATTGCTCTGGGATGCACTGATCGAGGCTAGGGTTTGCCTGCGATTCATTCAGATTGCCTATAGCGAAGCGGCTAGGTAATAAGAGGAAAAGCGTTCGAGATAAAGAGGTCCAACAGCCCAACAGCTGAATTTGCAACTTCTTTACTAATCGTAGTGCTAAGGTTCTGTTAGCATAATATTATACATAAAATTTAGCAAACAAAGTTTGCTTACTATTCCGCCATCATTTCCTGGAGCCATCGGATGCTCGGGTTGAATCTCGGAATTCGACCTCATGAATTCCCAAGGAATTCCGGGCCAAATCCCATCGGGATTTGAGGATTTGACCCCCAAAACAATTATCATCATGCAACATGGCCATGCAAAAGAATTCCATGTGCAGCCGTTACATTATATAATGTACGTTCGAGCGGCATACCATGCTCGTGCCAGTCAGTCCTTAAACCTTTTAGTTAGACTAGTATTAGAGTCATTCCTTGTTGTAGTTGAATGGTCGCTTTACCCGTTTGGGCTCGTACGTGTTCGTGTCGTCGGATGGTGACAGATGTGCTCATATGGCCTAGATGGGTTAACTTGCTGTAACTACATGTTTACCCTTAGATCAAGACAGCCACTCTGATCACCAGCTTGACTGACCATTAACCCAAGTGACCGATAACCCAACTGAGCAGTAACCCAACTGACCAGTAACCCAACTGACCGGTAACCCAACCGACCGGTAACCCAAGTGACCATTAACCCAACCGACCGGTAACCCAACTGACCAAACCCAACTGACCGGTAACCCAACTGACCGGTAGCCCAATTGTCCATTAACCCAATTGACCGGTAACCCAACTGAGCGGTTACCCAACTGACCAGTAACCCAACTGACCGGTAACCCAACTGACCGGTACCCAATTGACCATTAACCCAACTGACCATTAACCCAACTGACCGGTTAACGTGTCTTTAACGATCGTTAACCGGTCGGTTCGGTTAACGACCCGGTAGTGTTCAAAACGGTCGGTAACCGACGTGTTTATGCCATAGGGATAATTGTTTTGGGGATCAAATCCTCAATGGATTTGGCCCAGAGTTCCTTGGGAATTCATGAGGTCAAAGTCCGAGATTGCGACCCCGTGAGGGGCCTCATTCAAAACGTGGATCATTTTTGTTCAAACACAAGGTTATCTATTGCAGATGTGCTTATCGTCTTCGCGTCAAGGATTTATTGATTCGTTGCTACCATGAACGACTTCATTGCTTATGGGTTGCAAGTAAACCCGCAGCCGTCTGCCTGGGAGGCACTAACAGCTCCGTGGTTTCAGTGAAGGCTGCAACCCTCACCATGGTGCGCAGCGCTCTCGTGCCACTCTGCGACGCAGTGCTCTCGTGCCACTCTGCGACGAGGATATTGATTTAGATGTACGCCTGGAACTCCAATAAATTGCCCATCCATAAATATCAACTGAGCTGTTTGGACTCCACATTGAAACTCTCATGGACATCATCAATATACCGAGGCCGGCTGGTCGCCGGGCTCAGCCGAGGACCTCGGCGCGGGGCGGCGCCTAGGTATGGGCGGCGGGCGGTGGGCGCGTGGTGGGCGGTGGGCGGTGGGTGGCGGTCGTGGCTGTTCCTTCCATAGGCCCTCCCCACCTAAGCCTCTCCTGTAGAGAGCGGTGATCAGGTTTGGGCGCTGGGCCAGGCCGTCTGGCCACAGACCGTCTGGCCACAGACCGTCTGGCCACAGACCGTCTGGCCACAGACCGTCTGGCCAAGCCGCCACGCGGTTCCATCCCAGGCCATATATACGTCTATAGTAGGCAGAAGTGTCGGTGATCCGCCTTTAGCAGCCTGTGCGGGTGGGTTGCCTCGTTCGTTCCGCTGCTGTAATCCTATACAGGCAACTCACTCGGGCTGTTGGGCATGATCGGCTGAGAGGCATGAGAGGCTCCCAGTCATCGCGCCAGGAGCGGAGCCGGAAAACCATGCGGCCGCGCATGATTTCCTGCCTGTGCATATCTCTGACGTGGCCCGTCTAGAGGTAGCGTACTACAGGTGGGAAGCGGTCGAGCAGTCGTAATAGCGTGTGCATGTTCGCGGATACAGTATACCTTGCTTCGCATGCCACAACGCGGGTTGCGGATTTTGTATACGGATATCAGATCTGCGATTTCTGCAGGACTGCGTCATGGCCGCGCGGAGTAGGTGAGGTGAGTCATTCAACAAGTCAGCAACAGCGGCGCGGGACGCCCTGGTTGTAGAGCTGAGTCGTTCAGCGAGTCAGCAATTGATACCGTCCGTGTGGCACCAATTGATACCGTCCGTGTGGCACCGGACGGTACTAGCGTTGGTCGTCTGAAAATAATTCCGAATAATTGACAACGTAGAGCCGCGCGGCGGGTTCGCTGGCCGTAGGCCGGTGATATCTAACGTGCACCCTAAATGGTACACAGGCACTGAAGCCTCGGGACGCATCTCAGCTATGTGGTTCCGAATCAGACCGCTACGATCGATAAAGCTCGCCACATGGCCGCTGCCGTCGATACTACGTGCAACGGCCATCGGCAGCGATGTTTGCAACTCTGGAAAAGGCGTCCTCGCTGTATCGAAGTACGCTTGCACCGCGACACGCACCCTGCTTGCAGCAGGCTGAAAAGCGTGCAACGACGATGATACCTCCACATCACCACGCCCAGTCCGCGCGGAATCAGTGGACGTACTTTGCGACATGCCTGCCGAACAAACTGCTCAACAACACAGACAGCTGCTTAATAGAACAAACTGCTTAATACAGCAGAACCATCCGCAATATAACAGCGAAATCGCCCACTCTAGTACAACTCTTGCTTTGTACAAGGTTGCCAGCTCGCTATACGACGCGCTGCCGCGCGCTAAACGCTCGCACCCGTAAAACAGAATCCTGCCAGTACAACCCACGCAACAATCCTGTGCTCTACAATTACTCACTCACTCAACGGCTCCGCTCCAACAACCAGGGCGCCCGGCGCCGCTCCTGCTCACTTCCTGAATGACTCACCTCACCTATTCCGCACAACTCCTGCACAAGTCGCAGATTTCACAGCCATCTCGAAAAAAAACCACAACCCGCGTTGTGGCATGCAAACCAAGATATACTGCATCCGCGAACATATCGCTCTTGCACCGCCAGAACGCACTGCGCACCATTCACCAATACAAGCGCATTGGCTGATGGCAGCGACGCGCCCACCGCCCACCGCACTGCACTCCGCGGCAATCGTCGCCAACTGCAGTGCCTGTGCCCACAGGACCTACACCTCTCAGCATGTGGCCGGTGCTCATCATTCCTTCAAAGGCCGCGCCTATGCCAGCAGCAGCAGATGCACGCTGCGCCTCTGCCATCACCCAACACGCCAGCATTCCTCCATCCAAACACTCCCTGCTTCATCACCGCTCTCTGTACAGGACAGCCTTGGGTGGGAAGGGGCCATGCAACTCCACCGCCCACCGCCCACCGCCGACCGCGCTCATCGCCGCTGCTCATCATTTCTTCAAACGCCGCGCCTATGCCACACACGCTGCGCCTCTGCCATCACCCAACGCGCCAGCATTGCTCCATCCAATCAAACTGTCGGACCGTGCACTGCCTGATGCATCACCGCTCTCTCTACAGGACAGGCTTGGCTGGGGAGGGGCCATGCAACTCCACCGCCCACCGCCCACCGCCCACCGCCCGCCACCCACCGCTCACCACCCGCCCGCCGCTCGCCACCCATGACCCTCCCGCGCCGCCGACCGCGCCGCGAGGCGCCAAGGTCCTCGGACTCAGCAGGCGACAGCCGGCCTCGGTATGAAGATTGCTAGGTCCTCGGCCACAACATGCACGACGGTATTAATATTAACACCGGGGCATGGCCAGAGAATGCACCGAGGTTGGAAATGAACGAGTGTCCATCCTCCTCTAATGCCGATGACGTTAGCCTTCTGGCAACAACACCGGGACGCATGGGGAACATTGTGGACATTGTGGACATGTTCTGTGATGTGATGATTTTGGGATGCGCCCAAATGTGTCGAAATGTGAACGCCTCGTTTTTGCAAGCGACAGCGATACTAGGAGTGCTGTCCAAGCATCGTGTGATGAGCTCAGGCTGGCTGGAGAGGCCATACCGGCGAAGGATAGTGCACGATATCTGGAGTTAGTGTATGGGCCGGAACGGCAGTTCTGGGCCTGCCGTCAGCAGTTGTATGACACAGCTAGAGCAGCTATGTTCGCGTTGAGTGAAGAATTAGATAAGCTAAAGTTGTTCGCCCCAGATGTGAGGATGAGGTGTTTCGATACGCAGGTACGAGCAATACTGTTGTATGGTTAAGCGTGGGGGCCGTTTATGCTAGCTGAGGTCTTGGACAGGCTCAGGAGGCGGAGTGATGCGAGTAACCTTGCAGCGGGGCCCTTCGAGGCATGCCTAAAGGACAGAGCGGTGCAGCTTCAGATATCTTTCATGCGACAAATTGTAGGAGCTGCCAGACCAACACACCACCTCCTGTTTGCAGAGCTGTTGCAGCTACCCCTACACTACCACGTTCTCAAGCAGGTTGTGAGGTTTTGGAACCATGTCCGTTTACAGCGTGGGTCTGTGGCACACCATGTTTTGCGACAGGAGGTCGCAGAGTCCCTCTCCAACCCCGAAGGGGCCGGATGGGGGACACTACTCCTCCGTTTTCTATGTTTTTGGGGGCACGACGTATGGAAAGAGGCCCCGCAAGGGCTACACGAGGTAGACGAACGAGTGGAGTGGCTGATGAACAGGCCAATACCAGAAGGTGTGGTTTTGGAGTTCAAGGAGCGATTAGTGAGTGGTTGGAAGCATACGCGTTTAGATGTCCAGCCTGACGTGTACCCGTCAGACGGCAAGCAACCAGGAATTCACATGGCGAAGTATAAGCATCGGATGGGTCTGGCGGCCGAGCAAGCGGGCAGGAAGGAGGTGCCCCCGCTATGCTAGGTGTCCTATGCTAAAGCACTTGACACTCGAGTGTGTACCCATGACCTGGCTGCACCTGTGACTCACAGACGTTTGGAAAGCCTAGCGTTCTCTTGTCCCGAGGGGTGCCGGGGCTGCCTGACCGCACTAGCGCATATGGTTCATTAACACAGATCAGAGGGGTAGCCATGCTTGGCTTGATAGCCCAAACCAGGACTCCTTTAAGCCCCATATAGCAGAACCCATCCTGGACATGCATGGCGGGTATGAGTGTATCTCACCTGTCGTGTAAGCCTTCTCAAGGAGAGCAATCAGCTCCTGACCCCCCATCTGCTGTATGACTTGCTCGTGCAGCTCTTCCTCACAGCCAAGCATCTGCACGGTGAGCTGGTCCACAGCGCGCTTGAGCTTGACATTTTGACTTTGGCACACATCCAGCTCCAACAGTGCAGCTTCCAGATGCGCAACAACCTCCGAATGGCCAAGCTCCCGGACGCTCGCTTGTCACAGTGTGTTGCCGATAAGGATGAGACATGTTACAGGATTAGGTTTACAGCACCTGACCAAGTTTGCAGCTGTCATCCTAGGATGAGGGTTGTGGCACCAGCTCAAGGGATGGGGATGGGACCTTGGCTGACAGCTTTTGGATGTGAACGCAGTCGCAGCTGCAGGACGGGGATGACCATGGTTGAAGGGAATGGGGATGGGACCCTGGATAGCAGGATAGGATTGGGAGGCCCAGCCGTAGGATGAGGATGGGAACCCTGTCAGAAGGATGGGAATAGCACCGGCCCTAGGATGGGGGATGGGGGAGGTTTGCCCCTGCCAAGGATGGGAGGATGGCTGACCAGTACCCACCCCAAGGATTGGGGATGGGACCCCCTTTGCAGTCCTCCTCGCTTAGTTAGCCAGTCAGATGCGACTCGGCCTAGAAGTAGTCTTATTGAAGAGCTACATTTTGGAAAATTACACAGTTTTGTTGTTGCAACTTGGTGTGGGTTGACACCTCTATCCGGTGTTAGTTCTGTAATCGGTGCGAAAGCTTTCGGAGATTCATTAAGATGTGTGATGAACCAGTGAATTGCGCCTGAGTCTGGAAGTATGCGTACCGAAATTTCACTGAGTTTCCCTACAGCAGTATTACGACACACCGTGCAGACTGATACCCATCTATCGAGGCAGACAGACAGACAGACAGACAGACAGACAGAAAGACACCAGCCATAGCTATTTAATGCACAAACAACCCTGAGCATAGCCGTTGGCGAGTTGGGTCCAGACAGGCTACAACCACGTAATGGAGTTTATGCGATTTAATGTACAACAAGACCATGTTCATGGCTTTAGTAGTGGTACAAACCCCTTAAGTAGGGCTCAAGCAGCTCGCAGCCCTAGCGCCATACCGCCGGCGACCATCATCACAGTTATATAGACCATCCCTCTCTTACACGTGCATAGCAAGAAACCATACAAAGACAACAACCAGCCACCACTCCATCACTGCATACCTCCTCCACCCCACACAGGCTGCCGCCAGCAGCCCACCCAGGGAAGGCAGTACTACTCAATCACGCAACGAACGCCTTCTACTTGCGCATGGAGGCACGCCCGCAATTGACGCCATAAGCCCGCTTTCCAAATCGTCCGCCATCACCGCCGCAAGCATTTCCCCACCAGTCGGGAACACCGGAGAGCCGTTGCTTCACTGGCACAGAGTGGTCGCCAGCCCGCGACTGTCATCACGGACCGGCTTCACTACAACAGCTTCCATGACTCCAAACGGCATTCACAGCAGCACCAGCAGTTGCAGCACCAGCCGCACGAAACGCCTCAATGGTCTATCGCAACCTGGCGTGACCTTAAAGACGTGCACGGCAACGGATGGCGAAGTTTTCAGCACAATCAGGTGGTCGCACGGCCTAAATGCAACAGAAACCTGGCTCCCAGCCTCAGTCATTTTTCCCAGCTCTCAGTGATTACCTTTGCTTGCAGTTTTCTGCCTACAGAGAGCAAAATACAGCACTCTTTGATACACAAAATCAGTCGGCAAATGGTACAAGTTCTTCTACATAGGCGCCCGGCCCCGCCATGGCCGCAGCCAAAGGATGCGGAAAGGCAATGGCAACATGGACTACCGGATCAGGAGTTGAAATGGTGTCTCTCGATGCCTGTGGCATTACACAATCATGAAGTCCATTAGGTGGGAAGGCTGGTTGAGGGGGGAGGTGTGCACCTGCTCCCAGGGCACGAACATGCATGGCGCCAGACCGCGGCTGTGTGACTTGCCAGACGCCGCGTCCACATCCGCGTCTGCATCCGGTCCTGGGGCGCACCATCACAAAGATCCAACAGGAAAAAACGGACCGTTTCCCGAAAGACAAATCAACAGGACGTTTGACCTTAAACGACTCTTACGGGACTACCATAGGAAAAAACGCACGAATTTGCCTTTCCATCGTCCAAAATCATCTCCCTTTTCACATTTCCCACGTTTCCACCACCTAAATACGTGCTCTTCGCCGGCGCCTTCCTTCCTCTTCCTACATATATGTATCTTCCCCCTTCCCTCCCGCACACCTTCCCTCCTGCCCATCCCACCTTGCTGTCCCGAAAGATCCGCCGTACTACGCAGCTCCCTGTCGTACGTCACAATGGACTCGATATACAATCTGTTGTTGGCGCCCGGGTGTGTGGAAGCCATGGCTAGACGGCAGCGCAGCTCCGTACAGGTGCTATTGGGGTACACCAGCGCGCAGTAGACCTTGGTGCCCTGCGATGGGGAGCGCGGACGCTCAGTGTCCCATTGCTGCCCCGCCTCTCTGCTCTACAGCAGATGGGGCCCCCTTTCGCCCGTCATGCGGTGCTTTACCTTAATCACGTATCGCCCCCACAGCACCGCCGCTGCCCGGTCCTTATCCGCCGCTTGCCACTCCTTGGCGGCGCCAGCTGCGCCGCCCAGACCCCGGCTTCGAGGGAGCTTCACCGCTCCTGCGGCCGCTGCGGCGGTACCCGGTCCCATGGCTGGTTGGCCCGGGCTGCCTCCCCCCCCGGGCCCCGCACAGCTCGGAGGGAGGGGCAGCTGCGCCATTGACTTGGCCACCTTGCTGACGACGTTGGGGCTAGTGCGGTACAGAAAGGTGCCGTCCGGCAAGAACCTGATGGGAGTAGCAGTGGCAGTGGCAGCAGCAGCAGCAGCTGTAGCAGCAACAATAGCAGCAGCAGCTGCAGCAGCAGCACAGCCGCAGTAATAGCGGGGGCGCAACATCAGCCCTTGTACGTGTGTTTCAAATGGCCGCCTGCTGCTGAAATACGCCAGAAGGGCGTAACCCGACAACTACGCGGGGGGGGAGAGTGTTTGTACCATGCTGACCTGTAATAGCGGAAATAGCTGACAAGGTGCACGGGCCTGTGGCTGGTGAATTCCACCACGCCTGTCCGCACGTAAGTGTTGCGAGCTTTTGATCCGACGACGATCCAAAAGCGCCGACAGTGCCAGTTAGCAGTATTATACCAGTAGCAACCGGCGCATCCGCAGTAATGGCAGCGCCGTCAGAGCACGTGGGAGCACCGGGAGGGCAGAATATGCAGCAAACCTCAGAAACAAAGATGTGCAGCAGCTAACAGCAACGGCGTCGTTAGGCAGGGGGAAATGAGCCAAGCAGGCCCGAGCGGGTGTGGGCGCTGCGGGAGTGCGACGACGATGCCATGAACTCATTACAGATTGGCGGTTGACGGCTCTGCAAAAGATCCAAGGAGGCTGAACAGGAGGTCTAGGAGTCGTCCTCTCAACGACTAATACACGGGTGTCAGTACCATTTGTGATCCGGCACACATGTTGCTGTCAAAACCTGCCAAACCGACTGCCATTAGAATCCCCTAAGAGCGCACTTCAGGAGGAAACCCTAAGATTCTAGCATTTTACGACACGCCGATGCACATGTACGGCAGTAATAGTCACCATGGCCAATATGAACGCAACACCTACTACGAAAATGTAGCGTAAGTATATGATCAGAGTACATGATCCGGCTGGGCAGGCAGACGTCATGCATATGTAACTTTCGTAACCCCTGGTGTGGTACTGTACAAAACAGAGCGTGGTACAAATACAGCCATGAGGTCCTGGTCGCTCCAAGGCCCGACGCCGCTGGCGTACCGTATCCATGTCTAACAACCCTACCCGCATAGAGGCCGTCAAAGCGGAGGTGGGGGTGATGAACGAACATGCGCTTCCAGGAAAACCTGGTAAGAAAAGGGAGGGAGCATGAGGGAAGTGACACGCGTGCAACTATAAGCGTGATACGCAAGCCCCGAGACCAGGATTCACACAGGTTTGGGGTTCACGTGCACGGCGGGCGACATGCCTCCATAAGGGACGACCGCCTCCGATGACATCTGATCCCTCTGAAAGTGCCTTCTCATATGAAAATTCTAAACGTGTGAACATCAATTGCCCAAACTACCTGGCAAACAAAGTCCCGTATCGATGCCGTACCTGTACTGCGTGGCCATCAGCTTGTGGCGTTCTGCATGATTTGGAATTCCCAAGGAAAACGCCTCGTGACAAGCGTATTCCCAAAGCCGTGGATGCTGTGTAAAAGAATCCAAGACAAGAAAGGACGCGAAGCTAGTCAGGGTAGATGCGACACACATTACACCGTTACGCCTGGCCTGGCATTCAGGGTTTCACCATGCGCACCTCAGAGATGTTCCGCCACTGACGACAGACCTGAAAGCACCGTTAAATGTATGTGAAGTCGGGCAAAAGCCGAAGAACTCGGCGACACTCGATGCTCACCAGCGCTGCCTTGCCGAGCGCGTAAGGCTCCAGGAAGCTGAAGATGATGACCATGAGCTCCTGAGGAATGGTTCGCTGAATCAGCGCCAGCTCCACTTGCTGCAAGGGAGGAGTAGGGTTACGGCGAACCATTACCCTGACGATGCAAACATTGACAAAAGCCAACCTGTTCAGAGACAGCCGATGGAACCTGTAAGCGGTTCCCGTAAAGTGACAGCCATGGCCGGTAGAGGCCCAGGACACCCTCAACCGGCGCAATTTGTAAGGTCATTCCTTTATAACAAAGCTATTTGTTTTCCCAGCAGACAATCCAAAAAACCTACTAACGTAATACACCCGGCCAACAATATTAAGCTGTCCTTGTAACTTTCTAGTCTTCGCGAATTGTCGTGCATCTCGTCCATCAGGCACCAATGGCCAATTGTTGCTGCCGTGGGTATCACTTATGATTGCTCACAGCAGTCGCTGTTGCCTGACATCCAACTTTGTTTGTTAATATTAGTTTCCCCACTTGACGCTGGAAGGGTCGCTGTAACGACCACGCTTGTGCAAATCGCGTGGCTGTAGAAACTTGGTCGACAGACCCTCCCAATGGCGTCCCCACTATAGCTGAAGGGTAGCTTTAAACTCTGCAATATCACAACTCTGTACAGTTGATGCGTAATCATCGTACAAAGAAGAGCCTATTTGCCAATTGTTGCGAGCTGGAAGATTCAGAAGATAACCTCGTCGGGGAGAAGGGGGAATGCATGCGACGCGTTTCTTTCCCGGAAGCCCATCCTTGTGGTTGGCTACGTGTAATAGGCACAAAGGCGAGGGCCCAAGCATAATGCCAGCGTGCCAGGCCGTGTGATTTCCATTGTGTGCAGTTCTGTAGATGCCCCTCGTAAAGGCACTTCCATTGTGCTTGCCTACGGGTCTAGTCTGGATAGCTGGCCCGAATGCATATGCTGAAGCCTGCCTCACACCCTGGCGGCCGCCTTATACAACGCGCCCGGGACTAGCAACTGCCTAGCCGGGCCTTTGCATCCATGGCTTCGCAAAGAGCCATATGCTGTGCTCGAAAGCGTTCAGGACTGTTCAAGCACTACCATGACTGGTCTAGGCCGCTACGGTGCATAGCATAGGCCATCATCCCTCCGGGAATGACCGCAGCATTCAAAGATATCTATGGATGGGCAATTTATTGGAGTTCCAGGCGTACGTCTGAATCAATATCCTCGTCGCAGAGTGGCACGAGGGCGCTGTGCACCATGGTGAGGGTTGCAGCCTTCACTGAAGCCACGGAGCTGTAGTGCATCCCAGGCAGACGGGAACTTGCAACCCACAAGCAATTAAGTCGTTCATGGTAGCAATAAATCTCGAAGACGATAAGCGCATCTGCAATACATATCCTTTGTGTTTGAACAAAAATGATCCACGTTTTGAATCAACCCGAGCATCCGATGGCTCCAGGAAATGATGGCGGAATAGTAACGCAAACTTTGTTTGCTAAATTTTATGTATAATGTTATGCTAACAGAACCTTAGCACTACGATTAGTAAAGAAGTTGCAAATTCAGCTGTTGGGCTGTTGGACCTCTTTACCTCGAACGCTTTTCCTCTTATTACCTTGCCGCTTTCGCAATAGGCAATCTAAATGAGTCGCAGGCAAACTCTAGCCCCGCTCAGTCCATCCCAGAGCAATGTTGTCAAAGGAGGAAACAGCGCAGCTCCAGGCCGCTGCGGGAAGGATGCAGCGCTTTCTGTCAAGGGCAGGAAGAGTGTTGCGCCAGGAATGTTGGGAGCAGGAGGCATGTCTGGAATAACTCTGGAGGGGCGCCCCAGCATTGTAACCAAGACAACCGGCCCGAAGCAGGATCCGCGTCCCTTAAGCAGCAAAGATTACCAGAACTACTGCATCAAGACTTTAATTCACTACTTTACAACCCATGGCTTCTCATACCCTGTTTCTCCGAAAACATTGGCAAGCCCGACCGGAAAGGATTTCACAGCAATCGTGACGTTCCTCATCCAACAGCTTGATCCAGCAACTCGGGTCCAAGGGAAAGTCGAGGACGAGTTTCCCGTCTTCCTCAAGCGCCTTAATTATCCTTACCAGGTCAGCAAGAGCGCTCTGTTCGCCGTCGGTGCCCCGCACTCATGGCCGGCGGTCTTGGGAGCGCTTACATGGGTAGTCGAGGCGCTCGAGTACAAGGAAAAAGGCAACAGCAGCCAGGTGCGTTGCTTTGGGTTCCGAAGGGACCATGGGATACATGTATGTGCATGGGAAAGCACCCGCGGGGAGGCACGGCACTACGCTTGCGTCATGTACAAAGGAAGGGGGATTTCTCCGTATCTCTTGACGGAACATCTGACTTGCAAAACTGCTCCAGGGCGGCAATCATGTGGAGGAGATGATGGACTACGTCGGGGAAGGGTACCACTGCTTCATGCTGTGCAACGATGCTCGTTGCCAAGAACTCGACAGGCAGTTCGCTGAGAAGTTCCATAAGGAGGAGGCGGAGCGGGGCGCACGCTACGAGGAGTTACGCAAGGTAAGTCCGTGCAGGCATTAAAAGGCCACGGCCTAATTTGAGTACTTAGTCCCTGCCCTTTTTCCATTGAAACCGCCGGTATAGTTCCCAGCAATGCTTTTGCCATGTCCATCATACTGGTTTAAGAAGACGTTCCCTTGCAAATGATGTGCCTTTTAAACCCAAAGGGAACATCGCTACTTACACTTTTGTTGCACGCGCGTTGAAAATTCTTAGGAGAACGAGCAGCTTGAGGAGGAGCTGGCGCAGCTGCGCTCACTCCCTGATCCAGTGGACCTAGCAACGGAGCAAAACAGGGAGCAGACGGTCATCTGCGAGAAACTTGAACTTCTAGTACAACAGGACCAGGTATGCCCCCTGGTGTTGTTGCATCCTCCATGAGGCTGCGGCCCTCGGAAGAATGCGCCCGGCATGATGCACGGGATGATCGCGGAACTGTCCACCGACCCCTCGAGCTTTCGTTTCTCCGCGCATGCCAGCCCGTGAGGCGCCTGGTTTTAGCAAGCATTACGCATTACCACGGGTGAGGATGGCTGACAGCGGACCGCGCATGTCAGCCTTTCAGGCGATTTATTCGTTAGGGGGTCGATAATCCCCCTTCCAGGGGGGTAGTAATGGTTTCTATCATCCAGCCGGTTTCCTCTGAGCTTGGCCAGCTATGCTGATCGTATTGCTTTTTGAGGTCAGTCAGCTGCGATCCTAACGACCTATGTACCATCCCAAGACACGTCAGCACCTGGGAGGTATACAAGTTACAAGTGCGGGGTGGTGTCTGTAAAAGCCGGGGACCCCTTGGCTATAGGGTTTAGCACAGCGCCCAAAGGCCTTCACGACTTTCCGACTTCCCGACCGACGGACCCTAACGGGCTTGAACGGGCTGACCCTTCCACAGGCCCTTAACCAGGCCGCGCTCCGCAAGCTGTCTGAGAAGAAGATGGACGTTCAGACGAAGCAGGAGCAGATTGCCGCTGCGGAGGCCGAAGTGGAGAAGCTGCGTCACAGCGTAGCGAGCCAGCCGGTCAGCAAGGCCGACGTCAACCGTATTCTGCTGGAGCGGTACGTGTTACAGGGTTGACTTGGATGCTATAATACTAGTAGTCGTTGAACGCGCATCAGATCTGTAGCAATGATGGTGGACCTGCTTTCCGTGCGATGCAGCAAAAAGCTAGAGGAGCTGGTGGCGACGGAGGCAGCTCAGTGCGAGGAGATGGAGCGCGCAAACCACGAGATGGAAATGCAGGTGGGTGGGTCGGCTTGGTTAGCCACGCTTGCTTTGGGAGTGCTATGTGCCAACAGTATCGTTTTCCTTTCTCGCTTCCTTAGCTATTGACCTTCGTGTCAGTTGCCATTACCTGGCCCACGTCCCCGAGGTCTTGACTGTTCGTTTGATTGATTGGTTTCTTCGCGGATGGGATTTTGCCTGTAGGTCATCCGCAGCACGTCCAACGCGCTGTCGCTCGCAAACACGTACAATACGCTGGTGAAGGCCCTTAAGCTCGTCCCAGCAACCACAAAGCGTGCTGGCGGCACAAACTATGAGCTGCGGATCAACCGAGATGCAACTTCACAGGCAAGTGAAAGGACCTGCTGCTTTGCACGGCTGATGCCAGCCATGCCCTATGCGCAATCTTATCTGGTTTAACGCCGAAGTGGGGGCCCCGCTGCGTGGCGGTTGCAGGCTGAATTTTGTAACCTGGACCTGAAGGGCGTGGTGAAGCCCAACTTGGAGCGTCTCCGCGATACCTACCTCACGCGCGCGAAGCAGCTGCATCAGGATCTAACCGCCCTTCAGGAGGCTTGCAGCGCACGGACGGAGAGCACCGCGGAAAAGAAACAGGAAATCGCTGCTCTCCAAGCAGAAGTAAGTGCACTTCGGCTGCTAGGGTGTTTGGTGTGTGGATGATTCTTGAGCACGGATCTCCTGCTGCTGAGTGCAGCAGACTTCTCAGCTAGAACAACTACCTTTCCACGCTATAGCTAAACCATCACGGCACAAATCACACATGAACGGCTCTTCCCACTTGACGCACGATGTGTTGCATCATCGTTATTTATGACCGGTGCACGGGCACCGCTGTTCCCTGCCGCAAAAGCAGAATGTCAAGCTGGAGGCGCAGTTGCAAGCGACCAAAGACTTCTATGACGAGAAATGCAGGAAGCTCACGGCGCAGGTATTGAAGTAAATGAGAGTCCCGGGGTTTACGGGGGATCCTGGTATAGCTCATGTAGATGGGTACGGACGGCCGTTAACCGGTGGCTCTAGTCAAATTCAAACGTGGTAAACATCCTTTGCTCTGCGTCTTTTCATTTCAAGGTGGCTGATTAGGATGTCGCGGCGGGGTCGAGACTGCCATGTCGCTGTTTGCCGCAGGCGGACAGAATCAAGGCGCTGATTGAGGAGTCTTGCAGTGAGGCGGTCAACCGAACGGAGCACATGGAGTCGCAAATCTCGCGAGCCCAAATGCTGTATGAGCAAGTAAAGAGGTAGGAAGTAGTATTCGTCAACCCTGTCAATGTGCGAACTGTAATGAACTTGGCGCCGCTGCCGCAGCCCCCATGCCACTCCCATGACAGTACCAGGTCCTGTCACGTCCCCTTCACCATGTCCCAGTCCATGTGCACATCGCCGCCGGTCGGCAGTATGATGCAAACCCATGATTGCGTTTTATATGCGATGTGACTCTCGCATGGCTCCGCCGCTGACGCACCGATACACTCGTGCGGACGTGCTTGGCCTGTCCCATGCCCCATCAGGGAGGGTGAAGGGGAGCTGGCCAAGCTGGAGGCGGACTACAAGCGAGCGTTCCACCTGATGGCCACCCACAAGGAGTTCGTAGCCGGCACCATCTCCCGCACGGTAGCTACCGTCCGCCAGGTTAAAGGCGAGATCGCAGAGCTTCACAGTATTAGTATGATGGCATGAGTAGGTCGTATGATGTATTGGACACCGAGGGGGTGTGGAAGCTACCCCACGCTACGAGTACGCCTGGCGCAGTTGTTACCTGCCTGGTGCAGGAATCGTTTGCAGCCTTTCGTCGGTACATATTCCGCATTCCGTGGATTGAGATTTGGAGCGCCGCTGCTGGCCACGGGGTGGATTGTGTTTTTTGTGATGTGAATATATTCCGTTATCGCGGGTGTGTACTTATAACCTGCCCATATGAGCCTGGGCCTCAAAGGCTCCTAACTGCTTGCGAATGACACCTGCATGGCGCACGAAGATTGCATGGACCAAACGTGAGCCCGTATGTTACCAGCACAGCTCGATGGGGGTTCAGGCTAGAGAAGACAGCTGGCCAATCTCATCAAAAGGCATTATCACGGTACATAGTAACAGCTTTTCGCCGCACTCCTCTACACAGTGTCAATCCTCCTGATCATCCCATTGGCTTCAATGTCCGGATTCACTGCGCGTAGTAAGTAATCGCGTGGAATGTAAACACTCTGCAATATTGTTTGCATAACGGGAAAGTTTTCAGCAAACCATAATAGAACTCCATGTTACGGTTTGCAGGCCTGTGACCCGCGCGTTTTGGTCCGCTGGGCTGTGTTATGTTTTGCTCCTGTGATGTGTATGTATATGTGTGTGGGGTGCTGGTTGCAGATGGTCTGTGTGAGCGGTGCGATGGTGAGGAATAGTAAACTTCTTCGGCGGTGTTAGCAGCCGAACAGTGTGCAGGTGTTGGTTGCGGCGTGTGCATGATTCTAAGTCCTGGGAGGTCTCGTAGAGCTTTCATTATTGCTGGTGCACCGAAGGCGATTATGGGGCGCCGCCGTAGCAGACTGTTGCAGACAAAGCACGATGAGGGCCGCAACTTTTACTGAGGGTTTTGCTGTATCCGTCGGGTCATTTCGTCTCCTTTTATGAGCAGTGACAAAGCGAGATCTCCGATGGCCTGAATTGTAGATTTTCAAGCGGTCTTCAACCTACTGCATAGGCCAGGGGTTGGAGCATGCTCGCCGAACTTTGTGCGGTATCCGCTGGATTGTTGGTAACGGTCTCCCTTTGGGTCTCCCTTGGCTCACAGTCTTTTGTCTGTCGGTTTGGTTGCGTTTCGAATTGGACGTTCCTGCAATTACGCGCGGGCTTCGTATTTCGAGCATTAATAGCTATTCTGGTTTAAGCGCTGTCGTTCTGTGCTTGATGTTGCGCATCGGGACCGTTGCTTGTCTAGGCTTGTCTCATGCATGAGGCGGGTGTGGAATTGGTGGGTATTGCCATGCGTGTGTACTGTCTTTGTCGGCTGCAGCGAGGTCGCATTGTGTGGTGTTGTGTGTATCCCAGACAATCTGTGTTACATCACATTCATCTGCTAACTGTTCCGGTTTCTTTCCACGTATTTGTCACACATGAGCCATGACAATTGTGTGCCGGACACTTACTTACGCCTGCAACACTTGCTGTAATGCTGCCAGAAGATGCAGCGATCAGTTGCTTCCGTTACCAACAATAACTTTCTGCTCCAAACTTCTCGAGACAAGTGGGCCCCTTATAGGCCCTGTTGCATTGTGGCAAATAATATTATATGTGTGCTGATGGGCCATTTAATCCGGTTGCGTGCATCCCTGCCAGTTTTAAGACATCGGTGGCAACGCTGGGGTCGGGAATGTTAGCTCGGTTCGGGAATGTTAGCTCGGCGTTTACATGGCCGCTTGGAGCTAATTACTCCCCAAAACAGTCCCGAACCCCCAGGATACTAAGCATTCAGATATTCATACATGGCAAAATACCATTATCACTGCCGTCAGTCGATATTTCACGGCTTTCCCTTGTGTGCAGTTCTGTAGATGCCCCTCATAAAGGCACTTCCTTTGTGCTTGCTTACGGCTCTAGTCTGGATAGCTGGCCCGAATGCATATGCTGAAACCTGCGTCATACCCTGGCAGCCGCCTTATAAAACGTGCCTGGGGATAGCAACTGCCTAGCCAGGCCTTTGCATCCATGGCTTCGTGAAGAGCAATATGTTGTGCTCGAATACGTTCAGGACTGTTCAAGCATTACCATGGCTGGTCTAGGCCGCTACGGTGCATAGCATAGGCCATCATCCCGTCGGGAATGACCGCAGCATTCAAAGATATTTATTGTTGTCGTCGTCGTTGTTGTTGTTGTTGTTGTTACATGGTCGTGGGTGCGTTCCCCGTACCTGCAAACCACCCTAATACGAGCCGAGGGCTCAAGGGCTGCCAGATCGCCTATAAGCATTATCCTACCTCGCACTTCCAACGAAACAAGTTATGAAGGATACCAACGACCAAAGGGAACGATAGAGTTGCGGTGGGACCATATGCGTTCCAGCATCCTTGCCAGGCGTTCAGGTTCCCACTTCATAACGTCCTTCATATGCTCGAAGCGTGGGAAACCCATATCAGATCTGAGTTTGTCGTACACCGGACAGTCCAGCAAAATGTGCTTCTCATCCTCGATATGGCTATCAGCTAAGCTAGCTTCACACTGGTTGCATGTGCCTGTATGTCCCATTCTAGACCACAGGCGCAGCATACTTTGGAGATGGATATCGGACCCGTCACTGGTGGCATTCCACGGCCAGGCAGCATCTGGGAGTACGCTACTGCAACAGTGTGCAGCGTGCCTTATGGGTCCAACCGGCTGTGGTTGTTGGCGAACGTGTAAACTGGCCCCTCGCCATTGGATCAGTCCGCTCGGTGTGTCAGGGGAGCAAGTCGAGCTCCAGGATGCAGGTGTGCAGGATAGTCCACATGGTCGGGTGTTGGAAGGTCGTGGGGCAAACACGGAGTGAGGCAAAAAAGGGGACCAATACTGGGAACCATGACAGGGGGGCCAGGTGTTATTTCTGCACATCGATACCATGTAGGCATGGTAGTTGCAACGATGTATATATAGCATGACAACCACGCCTAAAACAGGATTTCGCCCCACCGCCACATGACACCGTACATGAAGGTGCCGCCGACACCTTCACCACGGACGACAAAGATGGCACTGCATGAGGGCGGGGCGTGACCCTGCACCCACAACCTGGCGATGTTGACGAGGGCGATGAGGAGTGTGGGGAGTCAGTAACACCACAGCGAAGGGCAAGAAGCGTGGTGCTCTCCGTGGCCGACTGTCCCGGCTCATGGCAGCCCTCCTGGAGTTCTGCCGGCTCGTCAATGCCTTCATTGCACGACAGTCACATGGCCGTATCAACGGTCGATTCTCGACTACTTTTGAGGAGTTCAGTAGCATGCTCAGAGCATGCTGACCAGTGCAGACCAAGACCACGTATCCGATGGCGACTGTGTCGCGGTCTTGGAGGCCGACCGGGGCCGCACCGTTGTTTACATGCGGGGGTTGTGGTTGAGCGGCTATTGGCGCCGCAGGGCCACAACAAGGCCAACAGGCGCTCCGGCGCATCCACCGGTTGGATATTAGCGACGTGTGGGGAGGGAGGACGTGTGCACCTGAGGCTAATCTCCGCTAAGCAGACAGGGATAAGCTGGCTGGCAAGGTGCTTTGGTGTCATGAGGGATTTGCAGCCTGCATTGGGCTCCATCTAACAATGTTGGTTGCCTGCGGTATATTATTGTTGGCGCAAGGTGACCCTGTGCCTCGTGAGCCTGCCCCAAATTTACAGCCACGGTTTTACTTACAACGGCTTGTATGAAGATAATTCCCTTGGAATGAAGGACATTTCGTAGGAGGGGTGCTTGCCGCGTTCTATCGCAAGCCCTGGCGATTTGACGATCTGTTCCATCCTTTGCGTGCCTTTTCTGGTCCGCCATGCAGACGAGAACGGGCGGTTGAAGTACCTGATGCCTCACGCCCTTACACATTCAGCCAATGCGCTATGGGAGACCAACAACATCGTGCAGTTGATATACATGCAGCCAGGGCACGATGACCCCTCTGGGGAACAGTACATCATGCATGAGGATGACGAGAAGGTACACGGAAGTATACGGCATACCACTTCGCATACGTAATATGTCGTACATTGCACGCTTTCTCCTTGCCCTCCAGATATGTTTTGCTCATAAAGAGGACGGGTCAAGGTGCCTAGGCTTCTGGGTGCAATAGTTTGCACCATCATATGACAGTGAGGCATCCTCGTCCTTGGACATGCTTTGTTTATAATCCCGCTACACACACGCCCACCTGCACAGGCCCTTGCTGGTCAGGGAGGGGACCCGGCCGTGTGAGCTCTGAATCAGGCGTCCTTGGTGCAGTGGGGGCTGACATCCGCACCTAAACCAAGGCAGCCTCGTCGAAGCTATGGCCCGCGGGAAGCTATCTTCGCGCACAGATGTATGTGAATTAATTCTTCCGGTGAATCGTTAGTGAATTGTGGTGCTTTTAAATGCAATTCTCAATTCACATGTGGCATGCAATTGCATAAGTCATGACACTGACTGACTGACTGACTCTCCCCGGGGCCTCAGCCAAAACCTTAGTGTGCGCAATCGGCATATACCCAACTGACCTTGAACGAGGATAATTTAGGTACATACGTACACACATCAATATGGAGCATACGACTGGATCGAGCTTTTTGAAACCTGAAGCATATACTTTTGCAATGCAGGGAAAGAAAGACCCATCACAACCAACAATCATGGCACCGCCCCGACGACCTCTTTTCTCCTGTCCCTCTCTAACCTCGCCCGCCCGAAAAAGCCTCCACAAAATTGCGGCATCCTCCTGCCTGCAGCGAGCCGTGACATGAAAGCGACATCCCCCCATCCTGATCGCCCTTAGCAAGTTGTAAACATGTTTTTTCTGTATACCTGCACATATCCGACACAGCGTAACTCAAAGTATCCGCCTCAACCTTCAACATACCAACGGATATCAAAACGCACGAGAGGCAACAGCAGCAAGCGAAACAAGTCTTCCCCCACCAACAAACGGCGCACGACCAGCATGACGTGATGAAGTCCGTCATCCGAGTTACGAAAATTAAAAAGTATCCCTTACCGTACCACACAGTTAAGGGCTTTCCAAAAAGGCTTTATAACAATCAAACAACCCTCAAGGCACTCCAACGACAAACATATCCAAATATCATCACCTCACCGGATCAAACCCTCTGCGATTTTCCGCTCCTCCCCGTTTCGTCTCACTTCCGAATAAAGGAACGGACACGCCGTGTGCAGTCCCGAATACAGACCACTGCACGCAGGCCTCCACAACCTGTACATCCCCTCCATGCCCCTCTCTCCCGCCCACGCGCCCAAAAGCTTCCACCCTGTCCGAACACCTCATCTGAACCCGGCCTCGGCGCTCTGCAACTGCTGCACGGCGTGCGGCGGAGAGCGTGTGGCGGCAGGACGGACGTGTCGTCTAGTCTCCATCATTTCAGCAGCTGCTCAAAGCGCTTCGCGGCAATGCTGCTGAAAATCTGCACCTTGGTCACCGTCTCCCCAAAGGAGCCCTGCGACAGGAGGACGTGGGAATAAGTTTGCGTGGGGAATGGGGGTTTCCATAATGCAGGCGGCGACGGAGGCGGCGACGGCTCAGTAGACGCAGGAACGTGTGCGTGTGTGTAAATGGTCGTGTGTTGTTGTTGCAGCGGGATACCAAGTTTTTATGCCGTAAAGAAAAGAAACCGAGCCAAAGGGCACATCGCCTGTCGCTGTAATTGACACACATAGCCTGGAAGGGAAGGACAAGTGGCCCGTACCGGCTTGTACAAAACCTCAACAAGCTTGACTACGACTAAGACCGGGCTAGCACTGATGCCAAAAGGGAATTTTTGCCAATATCGCTCCCCTATGAATGACAAACTCATGCCTACAAATACCGGCGTACTTAAGTGTTGCCTCGATGTGAAGAAGTGCAGCCAAATACACACGGGACCGCCTCCTTAAGCTGATCTGAAAAATCACTTGAGGGGGGGGCGGCACTACCGACCACCTTCGTCTAGCAACTCTGGGTAGCAACTTCTTCTCTGGGTAGCAGAGGACAATATGCTTTGCATGGGTCCGCTCAAAAAGCGCGTTAGGTCCAACTGTGTTCCAACCGCTCTGAGGTCGGCGGCCTAATGCGGTAAAAGAACGTAACCGCACACAGAGGCCAACAATTACTCTGTGGATGGCCCGGTCCATGATTTGGGCGGCCTGATGTGATGTGTGATTTCCCGTCGGTGTGCTGTCGCTTGCGCAAACCGACGCTCCGACTCCACTGCACTGACTGCCGCCAGGACCACTGACTACAGCATCCCAAACACATTGTTGTGTTCCCGCCGGAGGCTGCATTGGCCACATTTCGGCTTCCAGATATTGGATGCCCCAATCGTGATGTATACATAGCGCGGTTTGCCTCTCCTACCTGCATCTCCCGGACCTCAGGAAGCTGAGTACCGAAGGACACCTGCAACAGCAGCAGCATTGCACACAGCAAGCCGTGAATGGCGACGATGTTCACGATGATGATGATGATGGGGCCACCACACAGACCCAGAGATCGGAGAGCAACAGCACACGGTTGATGATAATGATGCAGCCACCGCCTGGGCACACACCGCATCCCACTCACCGACAAGAGCGCGTAAACCAGCGCAGTGGCGCCCAGGGCTGTCAAGAGCGCCGGAGCCAGACCGAAGAGTGCCAGGCCGATAACCACCACGGAGGTCACCTCGGGGTTGGAGTTGATGCAGTCCAGTACCGTGGTGATGATGACGGCCGAGTCCTGCGGGTGGATTGTGACGATGGGTTTGGTAGCGGAAGGTGGGATGATTCAGATGCGCGCTGAGTTGTAGTATGTACTAGGTGACGGAGCAGCTGGAGATGGCGGTTGGTGGTCAGCTTCATGGAGGGTACCTGTGGTGTGTAGTGTACTTGAGTGCGTGGTGCAGATGTATTGGAAACCCTCTCTATATATACAAGTACATACCAATAGAGCCACCTGCTACGTGTTATACAGCTGAAACAGATTGGTGGTGAGCAGGGAACTACAAGACGGGTCCAGATCTAGATCCGCCGGATTTAAAGCCGCCAGCCAGGATTCCGGTGGCGGGGGAATCGGGAGCTGTGGGAGCAGTCGCCAAGGTGGCGAGGCGCCACACTGCAAAAGCCTAGGCATGACTTCCACCAAGATATACAACCACCACAACCAACAACAACAAAAACGAAAACAACAGCAACACAGGCCCACACCAGCTGCCATTGCCATCCTCCCCCTTTCCCTCCCCAGGACCACGACAAGCCAGCCGCGAGCTGGCATGCAATGTGTGTGGTGGTTGGGCAATGGCCGTGATTTGCATTACGGCCCCGGTTGGAGGTAAGTGGGATTACATGAGCTCCCATGGGCGAACCTCGGGGAACTCCAGGACATAGAAGGCCAGCAGGGCGATGGCGACGGGGGCGGCGAGGTACCGGATGAAAGCCTGCACGTGGAACGTGGGGGGGAGGTAAAGAATAGGTAACGAAAGAGCCACCGAGGTGGGAACCGAATAGGGGAGCCCCAAGCCGGACAGCGGAATTGGGTCATGGGTGGAAGTTTGATAGGGGGCAGGGAATTACATGCAGTTTGGGAAAGGGGAGGGGGAAGCAGGATGGGGGAGGGGAGCGACGGTATAGGAGTTGGAGATACGCGTCCGGGGAAGGGGAGTACCGGAGCATTCGTTTTTTCGGTCAGCTTCGTGGATGCTGGTTGCATGTCGGAGGAGCCGCAGTGTCGGGGGAGGGGCGGGGCTTCCAGGAGTAGCTGGTACAACCGATCTGGCGATTGTTAACGTTACTGTGAGTGCAGATTGGCTGGTTCGGTCAGGTTGCAGAGGCGTAGTTTGGTGAAAGGAGAGGAAATGTCATAATGCGCGGGAGCGGGCTACGGGGGCGCTTGGCCCTTTGTTGCGGTGTTTGGGCGGATACGGCAGCGGAGGCAGTCGATGATCACGGATGATCACGCTATTAGGACTCCTTAGACAAAAGTTTTACGCTTTTTGCTATAGGAGGCTCGAACGCGCCTGAGATTGCGTACCTCGATTAGTTTGGGTAGGATGAAGAGCGCAGCTACCGAAAGGCTGAACGTTGCGACGGGGTGCTCGAGTAAAAATTTTGAAGCGTCTTGCAGGGGAACTGTTGAGAGTGCGCTTGCAATGTCAGCTGAGGTCAGGGCGCCTGCAACTTGGGCAACCTCGACCGTCGCCTTCACAAGGACAGTCCGATTTTTACTGAGGCCAGGCCGAAGCACGCATGGAGACAGTTTCATACGTTGCCCATTTTGCAGAGAAATGCGCAAGCGGGAAGCCAGCGAAGCCATGGGTGAGAGAATTGCACCGGCAGTTTTGTTCGAGAGTGTTGCACTTCGTCTGCGGCAAGAGCTCTCTTATCCAGTCCCAGATATCGTTGTCGTGGGGAGACGTACTATTATTGAGAGGCAAAATTGTTCAAAATCAACGGTAGAGCGACCGAAACTTTGACGTACACTTGCTGTTTTGAAGGCAGGGTGCTGATTTTATGCCAACATTGTGGCTTGTCGATTGCACTTGCACATACCTCGACTGAATCATTTACATGTACCAGTCCCGGAAACGTGTTCCGACACACCACAGCACAGAGTTCTAGGCTACGTATGGGCCGGTACTATCGTGCGACATCACCATGTCCTCAGCCAAGTTCTGTCTTTCAGTGATCTTGTAATAAGTAAGCTAGGCTTCGTTCAGTCCTAAACGTTTACGTATCACTACCAGCTCCCTTCCCGAAAGCAAGACTTTTTGAAGTGATGCCAATTTTACTTTGCTGAAGTGGGTGAGTTATTCAGGGGATACTTTCCCTCTTTTTTGGCAAGTTATCAGCAGGTCTTTGCCCAGAGAAATGCAGTCACTCAAGTGCAAGAACCTGGGCTCCTGACACGTGTCACAGCGTCCTGAGCTGTTGTAATAAAAAATGAAATTAATTTACATTGTTTAACAGGTCGCCTTTGTTCCCAATTGCTGTACGGCGTCAGTGTTTCGGGTTCATCTTTATCCAAGCAGGCGCAATAGCCCTTTTACGTAGGTCAGGTTTTACTTCCTGCTGCTGTTGGCAACATAAGACTGTGTTGATCTGCCATTTCTGTGCCGAAGGCGGCGGCGACTGGGATCCACGCACTTACAGCTCTGAAATTTTGCGTTTCCTAACTCAAGTCAAAAATGTCGAAGTCTAAGCCACAACTTCGTGAGCAGGTGGGCATAGAATTACATAGCCACATAAGCAGCTTGACGAATCTACCTGGCCTTTCAACTAACTCTCGCCCTGCCGCATACGCGCGCAGAACCTAGAAACTTTAGATGCGGCGAAGCTTACCCCGCTGTCTCCTGAGGTCATCAGTCGTCAAGCCACGATAAACATTGGTAAGCATCTTTATGACGGGGTCCTAGTGTGAGCGCCGTGAGTGAGTCGAGCAGTTGCAACGTGTTCATATGGGAGTGGGCAGACAGCGTTTGGGGGTTTACATGCATCCGTCGAGGCTTGCTGTGTGTTGGCCGGGCAAAGCGTGTCCCGGTCCAACAAGGCCCTTCCAACCCCAGACCCCGAGCACATCGCAGCCCGATCCGTCGAACGTAGTTCAGGCCATATGGGGATAATTTATGCTGGGTGCTTAGCTTCGTGTCGTGCAGCTTAAACGGTGGCAAGCCAGGTTCCCAACGCACCACCCTGGGGTCTCAATTCTGCGGTTACACCCCTCTCAACTACGCGTTGGAGTTTGCACTTCCCCACAGCAGCTGTGCGTTATCGCATGGAATCAATAACCTGGAAATCGTTCCTCAGCTTGGCGTGGTGTAGCACCGGGAAGTACACAGCACTAATCGCCTTGTTTACCCCTTGTCGAAAGTGGGTTCGTGCGACAGCTAATCACGGCAGCTCATCCTCGGCAGACATCCGTGTCGTTTAATATGTTCAGCGACAGCTGCAACAATGATGCCCGCGAAGCTTCTTTGGCATGCGAAAATGCGAATATGACCATGCACGAGAGACCGGCCGCAGACCGGCTTATCCGCCTGAACCTTATTCGCTTTCGCTGTGGAGGACCTTATCTTGGGAGCAGGAGCCCAGGGGCCGGAGGCAGCATGGCATGGTGGGCATGCACCCAACGTGGTGACGGCGGTGACACTGCGGACAGCACTGCACAGAAGGGAGACGTGGAAGCTGCACTGCTGGATGACCATCTGCAGAAGCCGAAATGGCGTTTTGCTCACACAGCAAATCTGGGGTTGTTGTGACAGGTCTTTTTCCGCGCTATAGTTCCGCCAGTGCAGCGGTAGCAGTCCAGTGCACGTCGAGCTCAAGACGCGCTCGCAGGGCTTGGCAGTGCAACGTGCACTGGAAGGAACGGACAGCATGTTGCAGAGTAGCAGGAGACCCGCTGGTGAAAGACAGCCTCTTGCATTTGCTCTGCTGCATCCTGCTGAATCCCGGCATTGGATCGTTCATGTCGACCGGCAACCAGAGCTTGCAGCAAAGGTGGAAGATAGCTGGACTCACCTGACGACCCCGCGTATTGATGAACGTCATAATGCCCTGCGCGGATTCCCCCCCTCGTGTTTGCATTGGTGAACCCGAGCACGGCGGAACCTGAAGCAAATTTTGGATGCGTGCTAATTCCGCTTGGGAAGCCACTTGTTTCACATTGTCTGCCTCCTGCCCGCGCCTGCTACCCAAACCCGCACAGGCACCATTGGTCATGTGGCCCACGGTAAGTCGACTGTGGTGAAGGCCATTTCCGGCGTCCAGACCGTGCGTTTCAAGAACGAGCTGGAGCGTAACATTACCATTAAGCTGGGCTACGCTAATGCTAAGATCTACAAGTGCAGCAATCCCAGCTGCGAGCGGCCGGCCTGTTACCGTGCCTATGGGTCAGCCAAGGAGGTAAGGAGCGCTGTGTATCTGTCCATGCTTTTACACGTGCGGAGCGCAAACACGGACGCGAGCATTACACTGCGTGGAGGAGGGGCTTTAGTTGTCCTCCGTGTGCTGCCTCACGGGCCGGTCCTTGATGGTCATCATCGTCACGTCTTTTTGCTGAAGCTTCCCTTAATGTTTTCCGTAACAGACTGCTCATCCCTGACGTTTAGCTATTCAGGTTAATCCTGGATTCTTGAATGGGTTCTTCTGCGCTGCAATCACATTAGGTTCATCCCGTCCTCCTCCTAACCGCCTTATGCACCTACACCTCGAACGATCCCGGTTTGCAGGACAACCCGCCCTGTGAGCTTTGCGGACAGTCTATGGACCTCGTGCGGCACGTGTCCTTTGTGGATTGCCCCGGCCACGATATTCTCATGGCTACTATGCTCAACGGTGCTGCGGTCATGGACGGCGCGCTGCTGCTGATTGCAGCCAACGAGACGTGCCCGCAGCCTCAGACCAGCGAGCATCTGGCTGCTGTGGAGATTATGCGGCTGAAGGATATCATTATCTTGCAGGTCTGGCAGGGAGGCTGACAAGCGAGCTTGGGTTGGGCGCTGGGCCGGGAGCGTGGACGACGCATGATGGCGTTTCCTTGGTAGCAAAGACCAAGGGGTCTGCTTTTTCATGCACTGGTTGGCGCTTAATGCATCCTTCTTCACAACCCATCCATGCAGTAGACCTTTTTAAGGGTTCCGTATGACTTTCATCGTTGTTCCGGCAACTGTCCCTTTCCACCCTTCTCCCCTGTACCCATCGGGGTTAAGGTGTCGGAGTTACAGATACTCCTTTTGCTACTTGTGCAAAGCTGTACTGGATTTGATGGTCTTTTCGTTGGCCCCGTTGACCCCTTTTCCCCATTCCCCTACCAGAACAAAATCGATCTTATCACGGAATCCAATGCCACCAACCAATACGAGGCCATCAAGAAGTTCATCCAAGGTACCATTGCAGACGGGGCGCCCGTTGTGCCCATCTCAGCGCAGCTCAAGTACAATGTCGATGTGGTGTGCGAGTACGTCGTGAAGAAGATCCCTGTACCTGTACGGTAAGTGCCCGAGCAGGGGATGAGGACAAGGATTGTATACTGCACAAGGCATACGGCTTACGTTGAGAAAATCTTGAACATGGTCCGCGCTGCGTTGGCCTTTCCCTTCCCCTCTGCTGCACATTACGATACAGTCGTACGATGTTGTACCCAAAAATGCCCAAGAGTAGCCCCCTGGTTATTCGACGGGAATCCTTATGATTGGCAGCAACCCACCCCCAGCCAGGTTCTTAGGCGCCTTCGGGACAAGGCCATCGTGGTCTTGCGCTGGATTGCGCGTTCCTATGCCGTTTAAAAGCCCTATCTTAAATGGCCGTAGTGCTGCGCGTTGCTTGCCTCACCCTGTGTATTCCGAACTTGAATCCGTGGCGCCTTGTTTTCATCCGCACAGCGACTTCACGTCGCCACCCCAGATGATTGTCATCCGCTCTTTCGACGTAAACAAGCCAGGCTCTGAGGTGGATGAGCTTAAGGGAGGTGTTGCGGGTGGCTCCATCTTGCAGGTTGGTTTGCGACGGGTTGGGCGGGCTTGGGTACCCTGGTTGGGTTCGTTGGGCTGAACGGCTGCAGCAAGTCTGGAAATGAGTTGCTGTGCTGAATGCCATGGGTGTGGCATTCGGACTGATCGTAGCGCAGTAGCTGCACACAGTGGGATTGAAATGGTGGTGACCTTTCTCGTCAGAAATAATCCAGACAGAAATACAGAAAATTCAGTCCTGAACTTGTCTTGGCTGTGCTGTTGCGGCTCCTGCCGTCCTGCACAGGGTGTGCTGCGCATGGGTCAGGAGATCGAGGTGCGTCCGGGCATCATCACCAAGGACGCCGAGGGACGCGTTAAGTGCATCCCCATCTTTTCGCGGATTGTATCGCTGTTTGCGGAGCAGAACGAGCTGCAATTTGCGGTGCCCGGTGGCCTCATCGGTGTCGGCCTCACGGTAAGCGATGTCCAGGGTGTTCTATTTTAGCCAGACCTCCAGGACCTTCGCGGCATGCCTGGCCTTGGTGTGTATGAGACAGCTGCCTGCCTAATGATTGGTGAGCTAGGCGCGAGGGTGCTCATTCTCCTTAGCAACCATCATGTAGTTCGATTCACTTCCTGGATAATGCCCACGTGCGTGAGGTCTGCTGTGAACCGCTCCTGTTACATATGCTCGTGTTCTTCGCCACCTCGGCTCGCTCGTCGCTTGGGCCCCCTGGGACTCCGGACCAGTGAAACCCCAGTGCCCATGGCGACGCCATTTTTCCTTCGCCAGCAGTCTTGGCTTCATATCTGGGTGTCACCCTTGCGCGCGCGCGCGCATACACAGGTCGACCCGACGCTGACCCGTGCTGATCGGCTAGTGGGTCAGGTGCTGGGTCAGGTGGGCGCTCTTCCAGACGTGTATTCGGAGCTGGAGATTAACTTCTTCCTGCTGCGCCGTCTGCTGGGTGTGCGGTCGAAGGAGGGCGAGAAACAGGGCAAGGTGAGGGACCTAGGGGGAAGGGTGGGGTTGAAAGCTTCGGGATGCTGCGTGTGGCTTAGAGGGTGACGGAAAATGGAGGTCTGAAGGATTTGCCAGAGTTGAAGTATCAGTAGTGACTGCGGTTGCAGGCAACAGATAGTAATTTATCTGTTCATCTGCGGCTACTGTTTAGCGTCCACTATTCCATACCGCGTACCAGGGCTTCTCCGATGATTCTCTGTATTAGCCCCGTTCAGGAGTTTGAGCCTGCCAGATGACAAAAGGCTTGCCCAATGCCTTGTGCGCGGTCCAGATTACGTCCCATTACGACCGGGTTCGGCACACCCATTTGCCAACACATCTCCCGTCCCGTCCTGGCCGCCCGCGGGTTCAAACAGGTGACCAAGATGAGCAAGGGCGAGGTGCTAATGCTTAACATTGGCTCCATGTGCACTGGCGCACGCGTACTGGCAGTGAAGGGTGACTTGGCCAAGCTGCAGCTCACCAGTCCCGTGTGCACAAAGGAAGGCGAGAAGGTGGCACTCAGTCGCCGCGTGGAGAAGCACTGGCGTCTGATTGGCTGGGGGCAGATCCAAAAGGGCCTCAAGATGGACTTGCCCTCGCGCACGGCGTGAGGATGAGGACGCTACCGGCCGGACGGAGTGTGGAATGGTGCACGTGCTACCTGGGCCCACCGCGCATGGGCCCATCAGAGTGACGACGCTCAACGGAGCGATAGGTTTCAGCTCAGCAGCGCACGGCTGGGGTGGTGGCTGCTGATTGTGGGAGTGGTGGATGCGGAAGGCTTGCGTGGGCGCAGTCTCGAGTGCTTTTTGGGGTCCTTCATATGGGAGGTCTTGAATTCCTGTCTGTCCTTCACTGCAGGGGTGAGGAGAGGCAAGGAGTCTCTTTTGAGGTTAGCGTAGGGGCAGAGTGGCGGGTGGCCACGACAGCTTTAAATTAGGTCGGGGCTGGCGAGTTCTGGCCATAGCGGATCAGTGCTGCATTGCAGTAGCAATGTGTCCCGTGCAGGTGGCCCGGGATGGGCATCTGAGGCTGAGCATTCGCGCTGGGTGTACAGGTTCCATCCGCTGGCTTGTGTTAGGTAATGGAGACGTCCACGAATCTGCGCGGCTGCAGGGACATTGAGGTCGAGAATGCTGGGTGCGAATGGCTATATAGGTTTCCTGGTGCAAATGCGTACCAGGTGCGCTGCGCCGCGTCTCCATTGCGCTGCTGCTTGCGGACAAAAGCTGGTCGATGCACTTCCGCGTGGCTTTAGTGGCTCTTTTTTGGGGGCCCATATGGCTGCTTCGCTAGGGGCATCTGAAGAACCCCATGCGCAGCGGTAAATCCTATCTTAAAGCACGTGTTATGTTTAGAGTGCGTGCTCGGAGTGCCAAGTTAGGGGTATTCCAGGCACACGAGGCATGTGGCACAATGTGCAGGACGGGCACTGGGACAGGGGGAGGCGGGCGCGCTTCGGGCGTTGACAAGGGTACGGACGAAGAGTGTGGAGCTGCTGCTATGTAGCCTCATTCGGTCGTATACACCTGGCGCAGCCTGATACATGAAAGTACGAGTCACATGAACTTGTGATAGCAGCGTACGCTTGAAGTTTGCGCTGTTTTAGATGCCTGTGACGGTTTCTGCATTTTCGTCAAATGAAAGGATGCGGATTAAGAACATCATGAAAGCGCAGCCCGTACAGTTGGGGGAGACACGGAACGTAGCGCTGCTGCGGACCGGACGTCTGGATCGTAAGGATCAAGGGGGCAGGTTTCTTCGAGTTGTGAAAGCCGCTGCAAACATTCTCATGTCTGGGTAAAACCCATAACTCGTGGGGACGGCGATGACCAACCGTGCCTGGTCTGGCGCCTGTTTTTGACAAAACCTTCTTCGAGCAGCTTAACTTTTGGTATCTGCTGGGTATGTAAGGTTTTACTGGTTGGTACGGAAGATTGATTTCCGCGCGAGCTTTGACCCGGAATCGATGAGCATGTGTGCACGCACCTTTATCGGACTCGCTGAACCCGCTTACTTTTAAGTACTCGCCAACCTGCAAGTAGATGTGACAGTAATATGTGTCCATGAAATGTACCTCGACCTTGCAACATTTCCGGCTAGCTCAACAAAGTCTTGGCTATCTCAACAAAATTCTTGCCACCTAACACCTCCGGCTTTCTCTATCCTTCATTAAACTCTACATTATCGATTAAGCATTATACCTAGTTTCATTTGCGACGTATGATTACAAGAGGATAAACCACTGTTGCTCCCCGTCTCGAAGACACACTTCGCAATGCTGACTCAGTTGGAATGAAGGTGGCAACTATCAATGGTAGAATCACAGATTTATAAATCTCACCCAACACCGATCAAGGAAGTCGGGTCACCATCGCATGCTCATGCGTCGAAACGCCCATCTCTTATATCATATTCAAGACAGCGAACGGCTGCATACTGCGCTCATGCGCCAGATCCCTACGCCGCGATGGCCAGCCGGGGCGACTGGAGCACGGAGCTGTGGGACATCTGTGCGCAGCCAGGAGGGCCCAACATGTGTTGTAAGTTCGCAGACATATTGGAGAATTGCGCGTTTGCATAAAGCCAAGGGAGCTTCCCCGCTGATCGTGTCCGGCGCGGAGAGCAGTCCTGGGGCCCAGCACACCTGCTGCTGCGGGGTGTGGGGGCCCAGCATGTCATGCCGTCCACGTGGCCGGCTAGCCAATAGGTGCCGCATCTTGGTATGCCACGCGTAATGGGATGTTACGCGGCAGCTGCCGCTGCATGCTCCTCAGCCCTGCGGGTCTTTCCGTAGCTCTCTATCAGGTGCCACTTGTTGATCACCCCATGGACGTGACAGACTGCGCTGCGACACCACTTGCGTAAACAGTTTTTTAAGTTTGAACAACACAGCGCTTTTATCTTATCAAGCTCCTGCGCCTCCTCCCGGCCTGCACCCAAAAAACATCCACTGCATCCACCCGCCACGCTGCGTTTGGACGATATATGTCAGTCCCCTCCACACCGCAGCACGTCCTCTCCCACCCCTGCCCCTTCCTCCACGGACCTCCTCTCCCTCCTTCTCTCTCCCCCTCCCCCTCCCCGCCCGGGGCCTGCAGGTTTGTCCCTCTGGTGTCCTTGCATCCAGTACGGCCTGCTCCTGGAACAGCTCCCTCCGGTGAGGTGGCCTGATGGCTGGCTGGTCGCCTGAAGGGACTGCGGCCGGCAAGGGGGAAGGCGGAGGAGGAGGAGAGAGCAGGGAACCCAAACCTCAATGCCATGTCCCGGTGTTACTTACGGCTAGGTAGCGGCCACAGCCGTAGGGCCCCGGTTGCATCCCGTCAGATCGTTACACCAGATCGTCGCACCAGATAACAGCAGGGGGACGGGATGACGGGAGAAAAGAGAGGGGGGTGCGACGAAACGGGGGGGGGGTTCGAGTGGAAGGCTTTCCTTGCTGTACATTCCCGGTCTCCTGTTACCTCCTCCTTTATCACCCGCTGCCGTCTGTTGCGGCCTGGCTGCCATTGCTGCCTCTGGCGCTGTGGACACCGCGTTACACCTCCCCCTTGGCTGTCAACTCGTGCACCACCACAGGGCTCGGTGACGTGTGCGGGCAGCGTGGTGGGAGGATGTGCGCTGTTTTGTGTTTTGTGGGTGCTGGGGGACCTTCTGGGGGCGGCGCTCCTCACCAAGGTGTTCACGCTGCCTTGTACGGCGCTCGTACACGCACATACGCGCGGCTATATACGTCGCAAGTACGGCATACAGGTGGGTATGCGCCGCCTCTTGCTGGAGGGTGAACTAACCGAGTTATCCAGACTGTAATGCCGTAGCAGTGCGCTTGCGAATATTTGAGGCCCTCCTTACCCGGCAGATACTGTAGATAAGGTTTGCCAACGTCAGCTGGTCGTCCGCTGTCACCACATCCCTCCCTCAGTGTCTGATCCACCTGAACCCCGGCAGAAAGCCCTGCATGTGCTGTGTATGCTGGGCAGTCCAGAAGTACATGCTTTTCTTCTTTTACGGCTTGGAACTCACAAAACATACATATCCCCTGTGGGGCGGTGTGTGTGGTTGCAGCTTATTCCCAGGTATCACTTCCATCCGCACCGCTATGTTGTTTTCCTCACCTAGCGATGCCCCGTGCGCCCTTTCCCCGTCCCCCACCCCACCATGATCCCCCAACCCCCCTCCGCTGTGCCGTACAGTCCCATCCGCTCCACGACTGCTTGGTCACGTGGTGCTGTGCGCCGTGTGCGCTGTGTCAGGAGGTGCGGGAGGTGGTGGTACGGCAGGCGGCGGAGAGAGAAGGTAGGTCGGTGGGTCGGTGGGTGGATGCAACCTACCGGCCCCGCGCCCTGCCTCCCTGCCTACTTGCCTGCCAGGTCCGCCCCGACTAAGTCCCCAGACCTGGCTGCCTCAGTGCCGCGCCATGTCTCACGCGGGCCCATCCCTCAAAGGAATCATGCTTTTCGCTGCTAGCTCAGCAATCTCTATTCTCTCTTATATGTCTAACCCTGCCTCCTCTCCGCCACACACTTCCCCCCCCTCGCACTTTTATCCACAGATCAGCCGCGCACGCCGCTGCTCATGTGCCGGTCAGGATCCGGACACGACCGGGCCGACCTGTCCGCCAGGAGCTCTCCGGCGGGGTCCCGGGCGGCCTCCGGGCTTGTGCCGATGGGCTCGGCGCCAGAGCCGCCGACGTCACCCGCAGGCGGCGGCAGTGCCGCCACCGCCGCCACGTCCTCGTCGTCAGCAACAGCGACAGCAATGGTAACTTTTAGCGTGGCGGGTATTTCGGAGTCACACAGCGGGATCAGTGCTGAGAAGGGCGGGTTGGAGGGCAGAGTTTCCGGAAGCTGCTGCCACGAGGTTGGCTCGCCGTCTCAGCTGCCGCAGCGAGCGTCGGGACGCGCCGGGGGCCTGCTGGCTGCTGGTGTGTCGAGTCCGAATGCTGGCACGGGCGTTAGTGGCACGGTTGCGGGCGCAGGAGTGGCAACTGTGACTGCGACATCAGCAACAGCCGGTGGCGGTGGTGGCGGTGGTGGTCCATCGCTGGGGGGTGCACTGCAGGCGGATGCAGCGCTAGTTTCCCCGCCCGCGGTATCCGGGCGGGGCCCCCATGCGGCGGCTATGGCTGGAGCCGCTTCGAGTCAGCAGCCGGGGGGCCCCCGAGTGCGGGGGTGACACGTGCTTTGTATGTATGTATGTATGTATGTATGTATGTATGTATGTATGTATGTATGTATGTATATGTGCCTTGACCTCGGGCTAATAGGCAGATAGTCAGACAGGACAGGCGAAACGTAATGACATGTAGGTAGGTTGGCCGGCAGGGAAGCAGCGTATGCGGCCCTCTCCTCGCACCCTCACCACGCGTGTGACTGGGGAATCAGGAGGGGCGGATTTAGAGTGTGTGGCGGGTGGGAGGAAGGAGCCAGCAGTAGCAGCAGCAGCAGCAGGTGCAGGTGCAGCAGCAGCAGCAGATGCAGACGGCCGAGCACCTGCGTGTGTTAAGCAGGTATGAGGAGCAGCAGCAGCGGCTGACACCGCGGCGGCAGCAGCAGCAGCAGCAGAAGAAGCAAGGACAGAGACGGTAGAAGAAGCCTCAGCACCAGCAGCGCACACCGCGAGCATGTAGCGGGGGAATAAGGCGCAGTAGCGGAAGCAACCGAACACAGCTTCATTTGCCGCTGCTGCAGTTGTTGATTGCAGTTCACATTCTTCGCTGGACCATTCCGCTGAGCCCATATGGTTGTGTCGCACCTCTTTTGCTGCTACTGGTGGTCCTGCTGCTTGTTTTGCAACACTTTAGGAGGATACGGGGTAATGGTGAGCTGCGGTACGGTGGATGCAGGCCGGGGTGGGTTATACATAGCTGATGAGCAGCAGCAGGGGGGTTACACCGCACACGTGCGGGGAGGAGGAGATGATGATATCCGCTGTTGCAGGTGTCACAGCGGGCTACGAGGCGCAGTATGTGGCGCCGTCTAAAGCTGATAGTTTAGAGCTCTAAAATCCGGGGCTGAAATCGCTCCGCCTTGGCATATGGCATATGGCATATAGCAAAGCTATCTGTTGACTCCGTATAGTTGTGACTCGTTCAGTTCCCAGCCGGCTTTTCGGTGGGAGGGGCTTCCGAAAGCGGTCCAGCTGGAGGCTCTCGTCTGCCGCAGCCGAATGTGATATGTTCACGGAGGAGGAGGCTGTGGAGGAGGAGGAGGAGGAGGAGGTAGATTGAGTGCTTAACGGACATTGCAGCGCTTGGTCTTCATGGTGATGCATATCATGCTTTGTCGTGACACCCAGCCGGCACCAGCTGATGCAAGGCATGTGCCTGCTAGCTCCGCGCTAGGTAAATGAACTCCTTCCCGCATCGTGGGGGTTGGATTGTGCCGACTGTGCGGTTTGGGTATCGGGTGGTGGGGGCTGGCGGCACCTCAGTAGAGGTGGGCTGGTGATGCGCCAGTAGCTGTCCATAGCGGTCCATCAGATGTGGACTGGTCGCACTTTGTGAGGTTGCTGCTGTTAGATGAAGACATAATGGCTTTCCAAGCGCTGAGAAACCACTGGCACGAGCCGTGTAGTGGCTGGTCAGGAGACTATTAAGATGCAGAGGACTTGGAAGCGATTATCTGCTCTGTAGCTAGGTGGCCACACACCCCCAGGTGGATGTGTAATATTTTTATGTTAAGGGAAGGGACGTGAGGGCTCTCACACTTGATGAGCGGAAGAGGCCCTCCTGAGGTACAGGAAGATGTGTGTGTGTGGGGGGGGGGTCCCCGGCAAGGAGGCGCCTGGATATGGCCCGCACGCATCTGGTGTGCCATCCTGTGTGTGGTGGGGTGCTGCGATGTATTGCGATGTAATAGTCAAATACTGCTGAGTCGGTCAAGTGGGGTGATGATGAAATCGTGGTTCCTGGTACGGGGTATGACTTGGATGTGTGTGGCTGCGGAGTCCTGTGATGACGCAAATCCTCGGTTAGCGGCCCGGCCGCCATCCGGCTGCCGTTCACATGATCATTAGGAGGGATAGCTGGACGGCAGCCCGGAGGTGCGCGGGAAATTATGTACAGAGTTACTCGGTGGTATGATGCTTTCCTTTCACGCGCTGTAGGCGGTGATTCATAGTAGCGGCTCCCATGGTGTGGGCATGTATACATATATACAGGTGGCTGGTGGCAGGCAGAAGTTAAGGCCTGGCTTCTGCTCCCGGAGGTTCCGGGTTCAAATCCGCCTGCCGACCCCTCGGTGTGTGAGGGGTGGTGAATTTGGAGGTGGTCCCCCATCTTGTAGACGGTGTAGGACATGATTATATCAACTTGCGAGCTAACCAGGAACTAAGTTGTGGCGCCGTTGATCCGCTAGATTTGGTTGGATGCTGGTGGTGAGTTGCTGAACCCAACGAATACATTCTGAAGTCGGATGGGGTGAACGAATTAGGGTGCCCCTCTCGCAGGGGAGAGCAGGGAACTGCCTCGGGAAAGGGGGCCGCTGGTGAAGCTAACCCACCCAGTAACAATACAGCTGTGAGGTGTGGGGTCAGACCGAGGCGGGTGGGTGACATCTGACCCCTCCACCCGGCATTCCTCAGACGGGTGTGGGACACAAAGGCAAAGGTACGCAGACGGCACCATCTCACTGCCACAGCGCCTACGGTCTGCTGCTCTTTGGGGTGTGTGTGTGTGTGATTTGCTAGTACAGAAGGTGGCTCTGACGAATTGTCGAAGCATGTATAAACCGCTCATCCAACACTTTGTATGTAAAAATAGATGCCAAGGTGCGCCAAGCCGGCTGACTGACCGGACACAATCATCCCTCTGCACAGAACTATGTGGTATGTTTGCTGCGCTTGCAGAACCTGCAAAGAGGTTTGATTGCTGCGTGAACATCAACAGCCATTATAAGCTGTAACAACCACACACATTATAAGCCCGACATGGCCCTGGCATCGCATACAATCACTTCTAAGTGCAAAAGTGTTGTTATCGGCAGCAAACCAATGAACTTTCCCCACATATCACTACCCTTAAGGATGGCTGGCTGTCAATTTATGACACAGACAGTGGCTTGATCAGGTTGATATCCTGTATAGGTTAAATCCTGTACCCCCACTCACGGTAATTCCGTTATCATGCCGAGCTAATGAATGCATGTTGTCATCCGTCCCTATGTCCGGTACATGTCTCGCCTCACACCGCCATCTGCCGCATCACACTCTGGGAACCGGCCTCCCTTCATTTTCCCGGTAATCCCTTCATTTGACGTTTTTTGTTCATTCCGTGCTCATTTCGGAAAGAAGGGCTGAGGATCCTTCAGAACATATCGAAGGAGTTCGGCTGAAGTGGTCACTTTGAATGCATTCCTTTGCGAAAGCCTCCTAATATCGCCATGCCTGGAACTGTTTCAATTACTTATGACTGTATACATACTCCAAGGGTAAAATTTCGCTCAAATTTGAGCTTGTCCCAGAATTATGGGCTGAGGGGCCTTCAGAACATATCGAAGGAGTCCGGCTGAAGTGGTCATAATTCACGGATTCCTTTATAGAAGCCTGCTGATATTGTCATGCCAGCAGTTTTTAGTAAGAACATGGCTTAGCATGGTGAAGCATAGTGTTTTGGAGCTACGTTCAGTTGGGCGGCCAGCTCGGCAATCGCCACCAACCTCGGCCGCGAACAGAATCCAGAGCACCTTCAAGTTCAGGTAGATAATGGAATAAAATGGCCATAATTGCCTTGCCCAGCAGGCGAAGTTTCAGCGTTTGCGGATTTGGCCCCGGCTTCGTACGCTAAACGGACTTGCAGCAGAACGAGTACAAACGCACACAGCATCTGTTCGCAAGTCCTGCTTGCTGTCGAGATGTAGTAATAGCTAATAAAATGGCCCCCCTAGTTAAAACATATCCACGTTACCTCTGCGACGGTCGACTGTATGCGTTCTCTAAATTTGAAATTTCGTGTGTGTCCTGCGGACGCAAGTATAATAGCAAGTCTCATGCATATAATCACGCCATCAGTCAGCAGTGCGTCCAGCCTCATGGTGGTAATAATGGCAAAGAGGCCGTGGCTCCTAACGAGATGGTCGCTGGACGCAGTGAGAAATTGCTGCAGTACATTGCCACGTACTGTGTATAGTTAATACTTGCGACGTTCTATATGATGCAGATGAGTCTCCTCAGCAACAAGCTCCAGTTGCGGCGGGCCCTTCGGTGGTTGACGTTGACCGTCGAACGCACGTTGAACGACTCACAGGCAACATGGCTGGACACAAAGCGTTGACTGTAGATGTTTACGCTATTGGACCTAATTTAGGTGACGTAGGACACAAGCTCGCTACAAGGAAGAAATTTGAGAAGAACGGCACCCTTGCCGGTCTCCTGGGCTCCCTCACTGGCGATAACGACGTCAAAATCATTAAATGCAAATGTGGCATTGAAGAGCTGGCTGAGCTTTTCCAGCTGTTGGGGGCTGGTGAGTCACAGGACTGTGTTAACCAGCTCCACAATGCCCGCCGCCCCACGACTCTGCAATAATGGTGACAATCATTATCCTGTGTTGCTTGCTACTATTAGTACTTTGGTGTTATCCTGAAATGTTTTTGAATCGTAGACTTCAAGGGTTGCAGTCCGAACAAGCTGACCATATACAAGGTAACGGTAATATGTTCTTTGTCCTGCTACTTATGTTTTAATGCAGATGTATTCAAGTTCTCGAGTGTCGAAGAGACAGAGCAGTTCCTCGAAACTGTTTTGAATTCGGATGACCCGGAGTTATTCGTCAACTCGAACACTGGCGGCCCAGCACGTGTACTGGAGGTCAACATGCCGCTCCAGAACGTCAAGATTATCCGTACCATGATCGTCGTCTACTCAAGGGATCTACATTTGGGGGGCGCCCGTTTGCACGATGGGAGACCATCAGGCAGTCCGGAGCCACTAGGTGCTCAGCCAGCCAACACCACTATCATGAAGAAGGGTGCTCCACCTGCCAAAGCAGTGGCAGTCGTTACCGGTGTGACGTGCAAAAGCGGTGCATCAGTCATAAGCCGTACGGCCAATGCTGCTGGGGCGGTGATGCCGGGAACCTGCTCCAAGACACAGATACCCTTGGGTGTTGTCCTCAATCGGCTCAACGTACCTGCTGGTTCGGCACCAGCGGATGCTGTGGCGGCAGCTTTGTACTATATCAAGCGGGGCTTCAATGAACACAAGGGTGTCCTCCAGTTGGCAGGTACACATTGTTCATTGCACTATTGTGGCGGCTTTGAGAATGTTGATACTTAGGTTTCTGTCGTACTACACATGGACTAAGACTTCAGGAAAAATGGATGTGCAACTAAACGTAGATAAAATTTTATCCTTGGTTAAATGTTTGAGGTTGGGGTTAAAATGCCTAATTAGACTATAATCTGCTGACTGGAGGCTGCTGGCTGAGTCATGTACGGCTTTCACTCCTTTCCTAAAGAAAAACCCCCATTTCTCATGATTTCTTGCAGTCAACATGCTGCCGCCTGCTGAGGATGGCCTGGGCCCGATCCGCCAGAAGGACATGACTCCAGAGCTGCAGACTGGGCATGGTTCCCAGGCGACGGATAAGTTTCCACGCAACGTAACAGATGGGGACCGACAGCGTGGCAAGTTGCTGCAAACCTGCTTGATTGCTGCGACAGGTATGTCATGCAAGACAAGAAGTGCATTAGTACCCATTAATCCAAAGCCTGGGTTTCTATAAAGCGTATGTTGTACTACCCTTTCGCCTTCCATGTACAGTTAGATTTCGCTATTCCATTATTGCTCTTGTCACGACATAGATATGTACACAACACGACACGCTAAAAATTGTCACACGTTGCCTTTTTGCCTGCAGGTGCAGCTGTGGAGCAGATGTTGGCAGCAGATTCGAGCTTTCCATTCCTGCTGCTGCACCAGACCGCCGGCCACTTGTCCAGCGACACCAAGTACAGTGTGCCGCCATCAAGCAGCAGCCGAACCCAGTGCCCCACAGATGTCCAGCACCTTATCAGGAAGTGAGTCCTCGTCAAGTTTCAGTTTCATGCCAAGATTATTCATATGAGGGTTACAACATGGTCGGACATGTTTTTATAATAAATTATATGGATTTGAAATGATATTAAACTTGGCCTACTTGTCAATGTCCCATTGATTAATTGACCGATTGACCGATAAATGCCCCGTTGTTGTTGCACTTCTCAGGCGCTCCTTGGACATTGTGGGCCCTGCGCTGTCAAAGGGGCGAGTGCTCAGCTTGGAGGAGCTCGCTGCTCACAATCTGGTCATCTCGGGATGGGAAGCTAAGGAGGCCAACCTGCGTGCGGCAGACAGCGTGCTGAGTCCCTACAAGCACGTGTTTAATGACAAGATCGAACTGCAGCTGGAGGAGAACGTTGCGGATGCCATTCTCAGGTGGGGATGGAGGGGAGCCCAGTGGTTTTCCGCTTTCGGTGTGCATCACTACCTGTGATGCTGCTTATAATTGTAAGGACTCTGCTTCCAATTCCAACCATTCCATGTGCCAACACTTCCCCGTTCGCAGACGCCATATCCTGATTGGCCTCAGCCAGGACACCACATGGGAGACATCAGTGAAGATCCTCCTCAAGGATGGGGGTGAGCAAACGGTTTTGCAATTATTCTCTGTGCATTACAGCTGTCTTGGGTTAGCCAGTGACACTATTGGTCCCTTTTCTGTACCACTCATCTTGCATGCGCCTGTGTTGCTCATGCAGTGAACATCCATCCGGCCGCTGTCAAGGCCTTCGGTCCAAAGCAGGCTTTTGGCCCTGTCAGCCGTGTGGGTGCAGCCGTGGTGGGTGCTGTCAACGGGGCCGCTACCACGGGGGGTGCTGCTGACAAGGGCATCGCCACGGTTGGAGGCGTGAATCGGGCCACAGCTGCGGCTGGCATTCCCAACAAAGCTGCAGCGGGACCAGGTGCCCCTGCTGGTGCAACTACAGGCGCCACCACCGCAGGACACCAGGCCACAGCGGACGTTGCGACCCTGGGCCACCGACGTGGGCAGCGGGGGGAGTCTGCAGCAGCCATGAAGGCAGACAAGCAGACAGCAAAGGCTGGCTCAAAGCGCCGACGTTCTCTGCCTGATGTCGTCTTGACTGAAGCGGATCTCCCCTTCTTGGAAACAAAGGGGGAGGGGAAACGATGGTGGTAATGGACGCACATTTATTTTGGGACGAATGCATGCGTAATGTGATGTGATGGACAGCCGCAGGGTCTTCTTTTATGGAGACTGCTTTGTTTAGGACTGAAGGCGCTTTCATATCACGTGATGGACAGGGTCTTGAGATGGCTTTGCTGTCCATCACGTGATATGAACGCGCCTTCCTAATTAGGACTGAAGGCGTGTTGATATCACGTGATGGAAGGGGCCTCTATTTTATGGAGACGGCTTCGTTTTGGACTGAAGGGGCATTCATATCATGTGATGTTCATTTTATGTCCAAGTTACAAGTTCCACACAAGTGTAGGGGTGTCCATAAAACCCAGGGGGGCCATTGACGGTAAATCGTTTCTAGTGCAGTTATGTGGTGGATCATCATCCCTTGTCTGCTTGAGCATGAAGCGCCTTAGAGCGACGTGCCGGGTCTCCCAGACTTCCGAGAGGAACCTGGCCAGTGCACCAGGGGTGGGGTCTCAGTCATAATCATGTGCATGTTGCACCCTTGAAACACGAGGTCACGTTCGTACTTAGCCCGTGTACTAGTGTATGCTGGGCATTCCACAAAGACATGCATTTCGTCTTCAATTGCCCCGCAATCACAAACTAACGGTGGTATGATGCGCTATGAGGTCGTCAACTCACAGGCCGGCTGGGGGCTCAGCTCCCAAACTCTTAAGGAAAGCTAGGACCTTGCCTGTCCAATACTCAGTTTAGTCTGTTCATTTTATGGAGGGGCGTTCAAACTGTAGGGAGCGTTCATTCCAGCGTTCGAACTGTAGGGAGCGTTCATTCCATTCCCTTCATTGTGTAATGATGATTTGGGTTGTGGAATGAAGGGCCAAAATGAAGGGATGGATGTGGATTGAATATGAAATGAAGGCTCCTGGTTCCCACACCTGCACCCACACCCGCACCATTACCACCACACTATGTCATATCCGGTCTTTAAATCTGACCAGACAGGAGACCCAGGGGCAGACCGGCGGGGGCTCCAGTTAGCCACACTCCCGCAGGCCACCCCGCACAGCCCTTGCTTTCCTGCCTGCCTGTATGCATGACTCCGATGACTGACTGACATGCTGCATTGCGGGGTCACTGCAGACGAACCTCCGGCCTGTCCAGAGGAAAGCAAACATTCCCTAACTAAGGAGAAGAAGAGCCTCTTGTACAGATTGCTGAATGACCAACAAATGGTGCACACAGCACAACATTGGCAAGACAATCCTGAGCCGCAAACTCTCCTCCTGCCTCTTACTGCTGCCGCCCAGCTGCAGCTCCTCATGCACGTCCACTGCAAATGCTCCCACTGACACCGCCATGTCCAGTCCGGCTCAGTCATCGGGTTATACGATTTCCTTCTTTCGGCAACAGCACCACCAACTCATCACCAACTTGAGTAAAAATATCCCCTGAACACTGAACCGGATTTTGCTGCTGCTGCTGCAGAGGCACCTGAACCTGGGCCGGGACTGTCAACACTGGTCACACTGCCACCAGACAGCCATATGCCAACACATATTGCGACTGACACACGGTCCTCTCTGCATGCAAGTCAACCCGCACATACACCACCATCACGACCATCACATCGCCTCCCACCTAACCATTACACACACAAACATTCCGGCCATTTAGCGATGAACCACCTGCAGATGAATTGCTTCCACCCTTCGAGCTGATCATCTCCGACATGCCGACGTGTTATACCTACTCGCTCATTAGACACCTCATCCCCCACCTTCACCCACTACTGCAACCCAAAGCCCTCGGAGTTGTTGATGGCCAGGCGCAGTAGCGCCGCCAGTTTGGTAGGACTGCCGTATTCGGGCAGTAGCAGCGTGTTGAAGCAAGTGTGAGCAGTGGGCAGTTTGTGGGAGTCAGGGCCGTCCCGCTGTATGACGGGTCGCAGAGAGCCGAGGCCCCCTTGCGGACTGCGGTCGCTGCCGGTGAAGAACTTGAGGAAGGCGCGCTGGTCCTGCGGGGTTTGTGTGTGTGGGGGGGGGGTGTTGCGGGGAGAGATGGAGGTCGGGAGAAAATGGCGAGTAAGCAGGCGCCACGGGGAGGTGGAGGGGAAGGAGGGGAAGAGGGCGACATACAAAGGGAGGGACACCAGGGGCGGCAACACAAAGAAACTTAGTATATGTCCACCACCACCACCACCACCACCACCTGAATCCTTCTTCACCCCTGCACCCGCACATCCCGCCACGTCCCCAAAGTACCCGCACATACATATATACACACACACACACGCCGCACCTCCTCACTAAGCTCCTGCAGCACCACCTCCCACAGCCAGCCGACCACCCGGCTGTCCCGCCCGTAGCCCCCCTCGTAGCGGGCGGAGTCACGGAGGGCCGCGAAGTCCAGACGGGGACTGCCACACACCAACCGCTCCAGCTCCTGAAGGGGAGGGAGGGGGAGGGGGGCCCCGGTCAGGGAGAGTTATAGGGGGAGAGGTGACGGGAAGGGGGGGAGGAAGTTGGGGCATTGGGGTGTGTGGTTTCGGTGCTATACACGTAAGTAGATGTCGACGTACGTAGTAGCCATGCTTGAATGGTTGCGACTCAACTAGCTCAATTCTGTTTTGAGCTTTATCTTCCCCCTTTCCTCCCGGCGGCCCCACACACAGAGTCAAACACACACTTCCCGACCGCCTCCGCTTCCGCCCATGGCTGGCCCCCCTCAGGCTTTTACGAACACCCCCCACATGCGCGCGCGTGTGTGTGTGTGTGTGTGTGTGTGTGTGTGTGTGTGTGTGTGTGTGTGTGTGTGTGTGTGTCAGGGTTCGACACCCCGTACGGGGCCCGCAAATTTTTGGCCTTTTTTCGGTATCCCCGTACGGGCCGTAGGACTTTACGGTGGCCCCCGTAAGGATTTTGGGGCGCGAAGCGCCCCCATACGGGGCCGCCCCCGGACCGGCCGAAGGCCGGTTACGGGGGCCCCCGTAAGGATTTTAAGGATTTATAAGAGGCCGTACGGGGCCCGTAAAGTCCCCCGTAGGGGAGAGGACGGACCGATTGCCGACTGCCGTGCAAGGTTGTAGTACCCTTTGACTATATAAAGGATAAGGCCACACACTTGGCAGACATAATTCTTATTGCAATATTTAACTACACTTTTCATAATACTTTTATAACTTCTGGTCTGTAACATCCAGGGATGGCAGCAGGGTTCGACACTGACCTTCCTGAAACTTGCGGGATCCCCCGTACCTCCCAAATTTTCCTTACGGAGGGGCCCCCGTACCAGGCTCCTGTACCGGCCGAAAGCCTTACGGGGCCCCCCGTAACCCCGCAAAACCTTTACGGGGACACTGTCCTTGGCTGAAACGCTGTGGAAAGTGACGCTTTGCATTTTTTTGCCCCGTAAATAGTTATTTTCGTTATTTTCCCGTGAACCATTACACACGGGGACACGGCACACTCAGCGAAAGCCAAGCGCCTTGGCCGCCGCGGCCGCCCATCCCTTCTGCTCCTCTTTCTCGTCCTCCTCCTCATCTCATCCACGCACGACTCATCGGTATCTCGTTCTACGTCGGTCTCGTAGTCACTGTCACTAAAAGCCTCATCGTCACTAGCGGGGTATGTTGCTTGTACCAGTACTTCAATCTCTGGGTCAGTCGCAACCTCCTCATTATCATCCTCTCCGTATGGATTCAAATTAATTTTGCTAACGTCAGAAAACAACTTGTGAATAATGCCTGTATAACCCTTACGCGAGTAGATCTCAGCGGCCTGATCAATCAGTGGCTTCGCCCCGGTATCAGCAGCAGGTCCCAACATCCCCACACGAAGTAGTGAATCAAGTGTGTGGCCTTATCCTTTATATGGTCCGTCCTCTCCCCTACAGGGCCCCGTACGGCCTCTTATAAATCCTTAAAATCCTTACGGGAGCCACCGTAACCGGCCTTCGGCCGGTCCGGGGGCGGCCCCGTACGGGGCGCTTCGCGCCCCAAAATCCTTACGGGAGCCACCGAAA